TATGGCACGACTTGGGGATGGATTGACGGAATAAACGACGAAGAGTTTCTGGCCGTTGGTGAATCCAATACGGATTTTCGCGGGGGGTCTAGCCAAAGCTTGCTGCGCCCCCCCCCCCCCCCCCCTTCCCCCTTCTCTTTTTCTTTCCCTTCTTTTTCTCGGCGCGGATCCGTAGGCCGATCATGTCGATCTCGGCCCGGGATCTGCAGGACCTGCAGAGATGTTTCGGAACCCGTTTTTGGATTCACTCTCCTAGTAGCTTTTTTTATTCCTCTTCATCTTGTTGTCTGGACCCCACGTTGCGCTGCGCTGTGGATCTGGAACGGACAGCTCGAGTTTATTTTGAGGCATCTTGCCATATGCTTGGTGCAGGGACTTGGCAGGCCGGCATCTGCTGCAAACCAGTCTGGATTCCCATGTTATTTTATTGAAGATTTTATTTGCGTTCCGGAACGGTCGGGGGATTTGCGAAAGTGAGGCTGACCTACAACCGGAGGGCTAGTCTGCCTTGCGCGTCGCCTCCTCCTTTTTCCCTATTTCAGCTTCCTCAGCCATTTTGGGAGTTGATAGGAAGGGAAGAGATGATGAAATGACGACAGAATGTGATATAGGAAATGAACTGCGCTTGCGTTCTCTGTCTTCGAACTGCAGTTTTGTGTGCTGTTCAGGTGCTGGTGTCTCTTTTTTCTTTTGACCCCCCATTCTTTTCGTTTCAAGCTGGGCTCAGGCAACAACCAGGCGATACGGGGGTAAAAATTGTCCACGGAGCAAGTCTGAGATACCCGGCAAGGGCGTCGGTGACTTGAGAGATCCAAATGTATGAACTTTTGGGTATGTGATGGTCGGTCAAAGGGCCAGAATGACCAGACGGCATTTTTTTTGAAGGCAGGCGGGTCGTCTTGACTTGCAACCAGAATGAGTGCCTAGGTAGACCAATATAGGAAGCCCCTTCACTTTCAACTTGCAGGCTCATAAACGGGATAGGTAGTTTCTTCTCTAGGGCCTCGGTAGGTATTGGACACCATCCTGTGACTCATTGCCCCTCTTGACCGCTCATCTCATTCTTACACTTGGTGGCCAAACAGGTGCAACGGACCAGGGTACGCCTTCCATGCCGAGAGATATGCCTAATGTTTTGTGGGACGACGACTGTAGGGATTTTAACAAAGGGAAAGACCCATGGCCAATGTATATTTCCAAGGCGGTGGCGACTGGTTTGCTGGGATAGATGAGCCTTTTTTGGGCACGGAACCTTGGATTCGCCTCGCCCATTTGCTCCGCCTCACTTCGGTGTGAGCCCCTGAGCCAAACGTAGCGTCCATCATTTGTTAACTGCACTGAGTCTCACAAAATCCGGGATTCCCTGTCTGCCCGTGCAGCTCATGCCTGAGGTACCTATATATATGTACGTGCATATATCCGTGGGATTGCTGCAGCACGCCTATTAACCCGTACATATGTACCTACCTACTTAGTAAAATGGTATTATTTGGACTGGCCCCAGGAAAACGCCTCGTCGCTTGCTGTCCAGGGAGACCTCTCACCGTTTCACACCTAAGCCTACGTTGTGATGGGCCGCTGACACTAGCCCAACCTCTGGCGCAACCCCCCTGCCCCCTCCCCCCGTCGCTCCTCATAATGCCTCGCCTCAGGCACCTGCCTACTAGGGTGAAGCCCATTCAGTGAAACTCGGCTTCCACCCGACCGTATCGAACCCCGTCGACCTTCAGCTCGAAGCCCAAGCCGGCGCTGTCGACAATCATCTCGAGCGTGAAGTCTAGGTTGTCAAACTCGACGCCCCTCGTCGTGGTGAGGCGCGTGAATAGGCTCCTCGGGACTGCATTGAGGTCCGTGGTGAGGGTGCACACGTGAACGAGGTCGCGCGAGTACGCGGCCGGCGGTTCGTCGGCTTCACACGCGATCAAATCGTCGGTGACGAGAAGCGACTGGCCCGGCCGGAAGTTGCGTGTGTAATGGAACGCGATCGGGCTAAGTGGTGAGATTGCCTCTCCCTGCAGTCCAGTCAATATCTTTCTGGTGTTTCCACGCCCGGACGAGGTTTTGCACTTACCTTGGCTATGTGCCACTGCATGCGGTCGGATACCATCCATCTCTCCCACAGAGGAGACCAATACCGCTCACTGACCGAGTGCTTCTCCTCGTCGTATACAGTCGCGTATGATGTTCCGTAATGCATTCGCGCCTTTCGGGAGATGACCATGTTGCCTTCGAGGCCCCTCAGGACGGCCCCGCGGACGACGGCCGTCCAGGCATACACGGGCTGCATAACCTCTATCGAGTCGTTCTCCGGTAGGAGCGATGCGTTGGAGTGTGTGGGTCTTTCGCTGTACGGAGGTGGCGCCGCGCTTGCGAAGTGTGTCTTGAGCCGATTATAGAGATAATCACTCTGTCCAAAGCCTCCGACAAGAATGATGCCCGAAATGATGCCTCCCTTTGCCCGCAGGCCGTCCACCTGTCCTTGGACGAGATCGCAGACCTCCTTTACGACCGGCTCGAATATGTCCTTGACCTGAGCCGCCGTCATCACCAGGAAGCCCGAGTCCAGGCCAACTTCCTCATCGTCTGGCAACCCGGGGAAGCTAGGATTCTTTTGATTAGCGAGATCGGCAGGGAGTCTATCAACGCTGAGGCGCTTACGGAATGTTGATCTCGTGGTGCTCGTCCTCATTGAAGTTTCTCTTGACAAACTCCTCAAAGTAGCGGAGACCCATCTGCCACGTCTTCCCTTTTTTGACCTTCATCTCGTCAAATCGGCTCGGCCCGAGTCGGGTTCGGACGTGCTCTTCGAACCTGTAGTTGAGGAACGCACTCCCACAGAGGCCACCGGTCCCGACAGCCGACTCTTCGACCCGAAGGGGCTTCAGAGATATTATCTTGTAAGCAATCAAGCTGCGAAGACTGGTCAGCGTTTCTCCCGCCTACGCGGCGCATCCCCTGCCACTAAGAGATTGAGGGACCCTACTCTACTGTCCCTCCGCCCCCATCACAGACAATAAAGTTGTCGCCAATGCTCAAGTGGTTTGGCTGGATGGCCTTGAGGGTGTAGACGGCAGCAGCCTCGGGTTCACTGATCATCTGGATCTGCGATTTCGCCCCCATGCCGGCCATCTCGGCGGCTTGCAAGGTCGTGTTTTTTGCCGCGTCCGACCAGACAGCCGGGCAGGTCAGCACAAAATCGACTTTCGTCGATGCCATGAAGGACTCGCCGTACCTCCGGGTCAGGGTGTCCATGGTGTGCTTGTATATCTGCGTGAGGTAGTCGCTAACCGCGTCGACGACGGTCTTGCCGAACATCTTCAGCTGCGCGGCCGTCTCCAGGGGGCTTACGTAGAACGGGAGCTTCTGGGACCGGTCGAGGAAGAGCTTGATGCAGCGAAGCCTCGACTCCTCCGGCCTGAACTGGAAGCCCCATTTCACAGAAGGCTCGGTCCCGGACGGCGCATTGGGGGCCAGGTCATATGATATCTCGGTGGGGACCTTGTCCGACGTGATACCGTTCCCACCGGGCCACGACTTGATGATCTCGACGTCATCTGGTGTTGATGTGTATACCGCAGCCACTCTGATCTGATGTTAGCTTGAAGTCAAGAGTTGTCCGAAGTCAAGAGAGAGAGAGAGAAAGCGTTCGGGCTTACCCGGAGAAGGTGGTCCCGAAATCAACGCCGACAATGAGACGGTCGCTGATCGGCGCGGGCTCCCGCGCAGGCTCCCGCACGGGGCCATTGATAGCCTCGGTCGAGGACAGGGGCGAATTGGTCGTGAAATAATTCCTGCTGTCTTGGTTCCTTCGGCTCGAGACAGACGGCCGGAGAGGCAGATTGAGGCTCATTGTGACAATCTTGAGACGGCAATGCCCCGCACACAAGTCATTCCCGATCAGACGATGCCCCTCACCAACTTTAGGAGCCGGATTGAGCTGTGCCGATGGGGCTTGTTGGCTTGCGCAGGGAAAGGAGGACGGGGACAAACGATGGGAAAGGGGGACACTTCGGTGCCCAGCTCATGCCCGACCAACAGAAAGCCCAAGAAGAGCACAGCTCAAGTTCAAATGCCAGCTCAGTCCCACGCAAGCAAAGGGGGGGTAAGCACAACTTAAGAGAATGACGAAAGCGTGTGCGCTTCACCTATCTGACGTACTATGGCTAACAGATCAAGGCATGGTTGCGGGGACAAAAGAAGGGAAGTCTGGTCGATCTGGTCAAATCCTGCGATTTTCGAAATGCTGTTGCCTGCCCTCTACAGCTTCTCAGCTTGTATTGCTAAATCAACCAACGTGCGCCGGCGAGGTCCCCATGCAGGGGCCGGGGCTGCCCGCTGCCTAGCCAAACCCCAAATCTGGCTGATCTTAGTCCAGATGATGACTCAGCTAGAATGCACGTGATAACCGCCCCTCATCCTCTAAAAAGGGGTCAGTACCATACCTAGATGTTAGTTGTTTCTCGACACACAAACCAGGACAGACCCTTCAATGACAGATGAAACAAGGTATCCGTACAGAAACCGTAGAGGAAACCCTATAGTCCGTAGTCCAAGAAAATGGAACCCGAAATTCCCTTCCTTTACAGAATCCGGCAGGGCGTTTTCGGTGCGGGCCTTGCAAGACACGGTTCCCTCCCATCGCGGAGATTTAGGCAGAAGAGTTTCACCCTGCGCGTGAGGTTACATTACCAATGCCGCGTTCGTTGGCGTGCTCTTGCTGTCCCATGGAAAGCCGCATGGAAGAAAACACGGCACAACTTCCTTTCCCCATCATCGGAGGCGTAGCACGTCCCATCTGGCCAGCCGGGACGTCAAGGGACTTTGGCCCACGACAGAAGTGCAAGTGGAAAATTGGAATCGACAGCGAGTCGGAACGCCGTGTATCTGACAAGGAATAGGTTTTAAACAGTTGAAACGCGACCCGGCGGTTCTCCACCATAGGATCAGAGAGAAAAGTACGTCTGTAGTCAAGTCCCGACATGAGTCTTAACAGGATGAGATATAACAATAAACACTGATGCCCATTCCCCAGCTACCCGAACACCGGGAAGTTCACTCTGGGAGGCGGTCGAGAGAAGCGGGTTAATCAGGGTCTTGGATAATCAGAGTCTCGTCGACCCATCGAGACCTGAGACGTACATGAATATATAGCATTTCCTTTCGCCCGTTAAATTGGCAGATTATGACAGCGGTTGACTGGAACCTGCGCGCCTCGGTTTGGCCCCTCCGTTTTTATACAGAATATTGGAGGCCGCGTCGCTAGGTCAAACATTGATTGCAACGGGCCCAAATTCTTCCCCGCCGTGAAGCCGAACTCGAATAAGATGATGGAGCTGATCCCGACCGGAGCTCAGATTCTAGCTGTCCTAACATGACAATGACAATGGCAATGATGACAATAGGGATGATGATGATGATGATGATGATGATGATGGAAAATGGCATATATATAGTCCAAGTCTAACAAAGGAAAGCCTGTTTGCTGCGGAGTGGCCAGCGCCTGTTGCAGCGTCCGGTAAAAGCCAACCGTTCAATCTATAGGGGGTATTCAAGTGGTAAACAAAATGAAGAATGAAAACAGTGATTAGCCCACTAGTCGAGTAGACAAGGTGGGATTCCGTAAGGGGGTATTTCAAGACGGAAGGATTTTGTTGGGGGAGAGAAGGTGGTAGGTATAGAAGGAGTCGAGATTCAGGTTCGTCAAACATGGCGACAAACCCAGATCAAGAGTCGAAACGAGCGTGAATGATTTTGCCAAGATTATCCTTGTCCTAACGCCCAACACCGTAGCAATGAAAATAGAGTCAAGAGAAGCCTCTTTTGCGTGGGATGCTTGCGAGGGCCAACCGTTAGAAACGGTTGCCAGCCGCCCAAATGCTTGCTGAAGCTGATGCTGCCCAATCACCTTCATCATACGGTGGAGTAGGCCACTTATGTTCGGACGATTTCTTGTTCAAGTCAAGAGGCTTCGGAGTGACGGCTTCGTGCCCATCGCCAAAGAGGACGGCGTTCCCGCTCGCTGAAGGCGACGGAGTGGGATAAGGGTTTGAGAGTCCGACATTGCTCGCCGACTGTCGCAGCGGCTTCCCGTCCTTCTCGAGGCGTTTGATTGCGCACCGAGTTGAGGTAAGAACTTCGTCCAGGAGTTCATCCTCCTCATCGGGGGCATCATACTGGTGCACACCCTGTGTTGCTTGAGCTCTCCGAGTCCTGCTCGAGATGGGTCCTGTTCCTCGAGCAGCGACGATGAGATTGTCCACAGACCTGGGTTGGTGCTGTGGTAGAGAGTGGTGCCGTTTTAGGCTAGAAGTCGTCGAGAAATGATGAGCTGGCGGTGCGGGCGGGGGAGCATCGAGGTTCTGCTGGACATCCCTCAATGCCTTGTCCAAAGGCTCGTATGAGTCCTTAGGCACTGGGGCTGGAGCCTGGCTGTCAATCACCATGGAGGACCGGTTGCTTCCCCAAGGACCACAGCCGGCCTGTGCTTCAATGTCATCGTACGTCGGCGACATTGGCGCCTGGTGCCGACCGGAGAATCTCCTGGCTCTCTTGCGAAGGTGAGAGAAGAAGCTCTCCCTGTGCGCGCTGGGAGGCGAGGAAAGGCCTGTGCCTCCGTTTAGAGCCCGCTCAGCCTGTTGGCGGTGAATCTCGGCATAGTGGTTCGTGCTCGATGTGACCGACAATTGGCGCCCAACCTTCTTTGATGTCTTCTCCTCTGCCTGCTGATTCCTCTGCGTCCCGTTCGCGTATGCGTCGTTGTATGACGGGGTGCGGCAGTTCGCCTGGGCCGTGACCGCATCCGAGAGAGGGGAAATGGGACGGATGGTGGGCAGGATGGGCATCGGGGCGACGTTTGACGGACCATTCGTCCATGTTGTTCGTTTGCTCACGGTTGACCGCGGCTTTGGAGCTGGCGCTTCGGGTGCAGCAATAATCGGTGCAGGACGAGGTGCCGGGGTCTCCTTCACAAGCTGCTGCTGGGGGTGGACAACCTCGGCGGCGCTCTCCGACCGGCCGATCAACGACTTCCTGAACCAAGACGGCTTAGACGATGTCGGCGTCGAGGTCACAGAGTCCTTTCCGCGGCTGATGTCGGATTGCTTCCGTCCGAGTATCCTCGAGGCGGAGGACTTCGGCCGCATGGGATCCACAGCATCGGTGAAGTAGTCGTGTGCTAGAGCCTGGGCGGATGTCGGCCTGTTTTTAGGGTCCCACATCAAGCACCAGGTCACAAAGTGACTCAGAGACGGTGGCCATTGGGGTGTTTGGAGGATGGTATCCATCGAGTGAGGCGCCATCTTGGGGAACGAGAATCCCAGCTTCCCAGCCAGCCTGGTTCCCTCCCTCCAATCTCCGCCGCCGACACGGACTCCCGACTTGTTGTACCAATTCCCGGGACTGCCCATGATTTCACAAACCCTCCACACCTGGTCGACCTCGTTTCCTCCAGGGAAGAGCGGCTTCAGAGTGGCAACCTCGACGGCCATGGCGCCGACAGCCCAAATATCAACTGGTGCCGAGTATTCTCCAGCTCTCAAGAGCACCTCCGGGGCGCGGTACCAGCGTGTAGACACATAGGTCGTGTATGGAAGTTTGGAATGCGTCTCTCGTGCGAGGCCAAAGTCGGCAATCTTGACGGTATACGAAGGAGGCGTCGAAGGAGGCGTTACCAGGGCAGAATACCGCCGGAACGAATTCGCTGAGTCCTGGTGGGATGATGTCGTCACAAGGATGTTCTCTGGCTTGATATCTCGGTGGAAGAAGTTGTGATTGTGGATGTGCTCTAGTCCCTGCATGATCTGGAACAATATACTTTTCACGCTCGCGTTGTCGAGACATTTGTGGTCCCTGGCCTTCATCAGCTGGTAGAGATTCCCTTCCATGTACTCCATGCAGATGTGAAGCTTCTTGCTGAATGGGTCCAAGAAGATGTCCAAGGCGGGGACCAGGTGGCTGTGAGCCGGCAGTGTTCGTAGGAAGACCACTTCTCTCAGCTCGAGGCAGGGAGTGAACGAGTCGAACGTCTTCTTCATCGTCTTGATGGCGATCTGGAAGAAATTTGGTCAGACTCGGTGGCTCTTGGCCCGTATGGTTGATTCGAGATACTCACCACCGTTCCCCGGCGAGCGACGCTGGCACCAGCAGTCCGGACCCTAGCAAGCGCCACACTCCCGAAGCTTCCATCGCCAATCTCCTTCAAGACTTCAAACCTGTCTCCCAGCGCCAAGCCATGTTGGCCATGTGATGACCCGCGGTGGGTCGAATCGTGTGCGGCCGTCATGATGTTTGACAAAACAATCAAATGTGGATAGTCGGGGTCGAACCGAAAAGACTGTCGAGCGCCCTTCGACCTTCAGGGTTCGAGGCTGCAGCGTGTCGGGGTCGTCGGTTCAGAACGCACGCCCAGCCTTCAAGTGACTTGGACCCTCGGGAGCTCTTCTGAAAGAGCTGCGGGCTACTGGGGAAGCATTCGTGGACGAGTCCGAGACAAACAGAGCGATCCGGACAATGGCGGGACACAGGTCGGGTTGGAGAATGACGGCGTGTAGAGAGGGACCGAGTTTCTCGAGCGTAATGTTGATCCGAGGAGAGATAACGAAGGAAACCCAGATTGGAAATGCAGAGGAATAAGGAGTGGATGGCCGGCTCTGATCGAAAGGGCGCGAAATGATGGTTCGACGAAAAGGGATTGGGGCGGACAGGGGGAGGTGATGACCAGAATCTCGGGATGCGGGTCCTTCCAGCGATCAGGGCCAGGACAGGCGGACCTGGTGCAAAATGCTGTGGGCCAGGGCGAATTGGAGGTGAAATGAGGAAGGATTGGATTCCAGGGGCATCAGCAGCGGCATTAAACTGCGGCGGTTCTCCGTCGAGGCCCACGACTCACACGAGGCAGCCGGCGGCGCCAGGAGAATTGAGAGAGGGTGAAAGAGGGAGCGCGTGCGCGAGAGAGAGCAAAGGAAAGACGAGAGCGTATGTGTAAGTATCTTAGAGATGGAGGGTTCGCTGCACGTGGTGTATAACTAAGTAATGCATACGAATGCGGGATAGGAATTTAGCCTTTCCCACGCTGTTGGAGATGTTCGCTGCCCGGCTCTGCTCGCTGTGTTGTGCTCTTGTCGCGGACCTCAGAGGTTTTGCGTCCAGGAGAGGAGGAAATTGGGAACGCCGACAAAGCTTCACCACTGGCCGTGTTGGGAAAGAGCGTCGGAGCGTGGGAAAGAGAACGCGCGGGACCCTGGCTGGCGTTCAATGGTCTGGGGGTCTGACGGGTGATTCCCTTGCCAGTCGGAACGCTGGGTGGGTTCTTAGCATGAATTAAAACAGCTGGGGGTAGAGCTGTGGTAGTGGTGGTATAGGAGACCCCAATCTCGCTAGTGATTCGGGTTCTTTTCTGGAGTGCAATTTGCGCCAAATCGACCGGGGTGGCTGGTAACTCTGGAAAGAGTGGAAGCAACCAGTGGAGCGGGCCGTTGCAACTCGAGCCACCATTCGAGCTTCTATCTAAGGTACGGAGTACCTGCTGTACCTCCCTACCCGCAGAATCCGCCCATGAATCGGGACTCATGGGCCGGACCCAAAGGGGGAACGACTCATGTTGCGCGCCATGCTGAACCGATGTTGAACGCCATTGGTGATCACCTTTGCTTTTCCCTCTTCCTCCTGCAATACTGCGAAGGCACGCACCAAATCTAGCGATATAATTTTTTATTTTTTTGAAAAAAAAAAAAATCCAGCAAACAACCCAGCCACAGGTCAGTCAGGCCAGAGCTTGATCGATACTACCCGGGCATGGTTTTGATTAATAGGTATCCTGTACCTGGGCACGTTTAAGCCAATTATAACCCCGGGAGTCCCAGTTTTTTCCCTCGTTTCTTTTTTCGTTTTCTTCTCTTTTTTTCTGCCCCTTTTCTGAGACTTTGCTCGAGTCAGACACCCCCAAGCAGAGACTGGAGAGTTTCAGCACCATGGGCTTTTTTTCTCCAGGATAGGGTGGGCAATCTCTCTACCGACCAGTCATTGGTAAAAGGGGTGTTGTTCGGAGTATGGCATCTCAAACCTCAAATTTTGTACCGTCGGCAGCCAGGGACAGATACCTGAGGCAACGAAGCAACCTCGGCAGCTCCGTAAAGTGATTCTGTAGCTTCCATCCCTTCTCGCAGTCCACCGCCGTGCCCAGTTATGTTGGTTACCAGTCGTCACTACATCGTAGGCCCTTGCCAACTGCGAATCATGAGGTACCACAGACTGTGACCACCTGCAGGTCGATGTGCAGGAACAGTTTCCCCTTTCGCTCCCGTCAACAGTTGGCAAGCTTGTGCGGGGTGGCCCGTGCGGAGAACTGGGACACCCCTGTGGGGCTTGCCTTGGGATCTTAACAGAATGTTGCTAATCATGCCAATTCTTTTGCTAGTGACCCAAGTATCGCTTTATTCGACACACTCTGACCTTCGGTACCTGTAACCTATTAGGCTACCAGCTTTCTGGAACTTCCACGTTCAGTTGTCAGCCAGGAAAAGGTTACTTGGTATACAGAGAAATGGTGGGATATGAATACCTACATATGCGTATGGATGATAATAGCTGGAGCTTTATCTGTACCCCGCATCCGTAGGGACCAGTCAAACCACCAAAACCTCATCACCCGTCTGTCGAATGGCCATACCGCGGCATCGAAGTTAGCTACATACCTACAGAGTGATCAGGGTACCTGCATGCGTAGGTAGGTTGAAATAAGACTCGTGGGCATCGGCCCCCATGTAGCGCTACCCAGTACCTGCTAGCTGGAGCTTCGAGAGGATCACTAGATGAATATGAAGGGCAGGTACCACCAGGTCGATGCAATCATTCACTCCTCTGGGCCGGATTCGGTCCCTTTGTGCCGCGTACCTGCGGCGGCTCCAGCTCCAAGTAAACAAGCAATGATATTATGTAGACTAGCAGACTTCTTCCATTGGCATGCATGAACAACCAAGCCAGGCCAAACATCTCCACTATCATCAATGGGTTTATGCGGAGTGGGGTGAGGCTCATGCGCTCCATCCAGTGTGATCCGTTTCGTTTCGTAGCTACGGATACATCAAACACTGACTTGTTTTGCAAAAGATATGCAGGACCGCACCCAACCCTAACCCTGTCTTTCGCCAGTCTGACATCAAGGATCGATTCGGTATCGGTGCACAGCAGGCGTTTCAAAGATAGAGCTCACCGGCGGATAGGAGGCCTTGTTTTTAACTCACCTCACTGCCTCTACAGTGTAACATGACATGGGAGGTTATATCCATGTTTATTTATTCCCTGGGTTGCCCTCTTTCTCCCCTACCTAATCCATGTGCACATCATGCCACCTGCCCATGGAACCACAACCCATATACGAATTTTGGCCTCGTCTTCCCCGGTTTTCCAGATGACCGTTCGAGCAGTTGAGTGGTTGTCATTGCCCGCGTTGGGGCAACTCGGGCTTCTATAGTAGTCCTCGATAGTGTTCCCACTGGCCCTGTTGATGCCATCCTGTTGACTCCATGTTTTCGAGGACTGGCTCCCCTGGGAGACTTTCGATACCGTGTCACCGCGCCCGGCTCTGCAAACTCGTCCTTCTCCGGACGGACAATTCTACCTCATTGGGGCCTGGCAGCTCCGGATCGTTGGCAATCAGTGGTCTGCCTATCACCCTCAGGTCTGGTATTTTTCTCAAGTGAGGACATACCTGTTGATACCATGCAAGCCTCTGGATAGGTTGCCCTTGGGGCTTGATTAGAGTCAAGGTGGTAGAGCGAATTCTCGCCACTTCCCTTGATGAGTGATCTGCACCATATCCCTTGGACCTCTTGGCTACGTGCCATCCACTGCATGGTTGCCATTGTGGTGATGGGGGCTTCTGTCCTTTGTCAACAACGTCCCCAGTTGCCAGGCAGCGAGCGGATGAAACCAGAGAGGATAATGCCTTCTTTTGTCTTCCTAGACAGCATCTTGCCGGTGTCCTTTGCATCTTCACTGCGCAGCGATTCGGTTGCTGCCACTCCATAGCATCAATCGGTTGCCCACCTCTTCTCTCTTGCCAGATCCGTCCAATACGTAGGTAGGTAGGTGACTACCTTATCCTTCCATCCCTACCTACTCGGACACTTGCCTTAGTCCCTACCTAACCTATTTACCTAGGTACCACCTACCCATATTCACCATTGTAATGCTAGTATCTTAGGTAGGTAGGTACCTGGAACATGGTCGGCTTATTTTCCCTCAATCGAGCACAAATCCAACCAAGGAAGGTACGAACGAACCCTAGACAAACTCGGCAGCAAACACCTCTCAAGAATCTCTATAGAGTCTCTCGACAAACACAGTGGACTCTTGATTCGAGGTACCTATCTACCTAAGGTACCTCCCAACCTAGGTACCTATTTAAGCTCCATAGGTTCTCTCTGGAGCATGTAGGTAGGTACTAACCTACCTAGCTTTCTTCCGTCACCTTCAGCCTCCAAAATCAACTTCTCCCAACTTTCCCCCATCTTCTCCCTCGCCTCTTCTTCCTTCGCCACATCTCAACAAGTGAGACCCTCATTTGATGACCCAGTCAGAAATATCCCCAGGCAGTCCTGGTGCGTCTCCTAGGGTCACTTTCGAATCTTGCTTCCCGGTCACACTCTAACTCAGTCGCAGCTTGAGTTTACGCAACTCTAATCCAACAGGCTAGCCGCTCGGAAATGCCACCCGGCCTTGGGGACGGACCAACAATGGGGTGAGTCTGCTCGGAATAAATGCCCCCCAAAGATATTGCTGTCTAGCAGTGCGGTACTGATAAGTTGTTTAGTCCCGGGGGCTCTAACCTTCCGGCAAAGTATGTATCATCGACCCCTACATCCTACACAAATGCCCTAATAACTCCTAGAATCCGGTGCGATCTGGGCGGAGAGTGGAAGGATCCCTCTCAGTACTCGAAGAAACAACTGCAAATCTACATGACCAGTGTTCGAACTCGGAAGAATGTCACTCCTGCCAAGTCCGGGATCATCTGCCGAGTTCACAAGGGAGAACCCGGTACCCAAGAACTGCGGTGCCAAGGGCCCTGCAATGCCTGGAAGCCTCTGCTCCATTTCAGCAAGAACTCACGTACCACCGGGCGGAATGTAGGTGCTACCTTGATGTGTTCCTGATATTCCTGACATAGTACCAACAATTGATTTGCAATAGTGGTGTACGGCCTGCATCTCGTGGTCCGAGGCCAACGTGCCTGGCTGTACGCCTTACGTCGCACCTCTGGCGAAGCGATCTCCCGAGGAGGATGAGAAGCATCCCGTTGTGCCCCATGGCCTGGACGACGATATGCTATTCGACTATGATGGCCAAGATGGAAAGGTAAGTACTACTACACCGGGGAAGGGGGCATGGGGTCGTGGGTTTTCTTCCTTGAAGAGTTTGTTCATCTGAACTGCCCCCATTCCATTGTTTGCGCATGCTATAGGAGAATTCCTAACTGACCGACACGTTGATAGTCTGCGCTCGACCCATCTGAGTCTGATGGCCCCAGAACAATGAACTCGAAGTTCTTCGAACAGGACGACCACGATGCCGAAGACTTTGACGGTCCGGCTGCCAACCTTGACAACGGCCAGGACTATAGCTTGGCTACTGATGAGATGGGCCGTCTCCATTTGGGGGGTGAACAGCAATCCAAGCTGGGTGGATCCACCCAACATCAAGGTGGCGATGTGTTCCCCTCGGCCTCAGCTGGACCAGGACGTGGCCCAATGGCTCCGCACTGGAATATTCCTAAGTCGGGTGATGGTCCGCTTGGATCCCTCGGATCGAGCGCCGACCCTACAACTGTGATGATGTACACTCATCAGCAAGCCGCCAGGCAGTTCAACGCCTATAGTCCGGGCGGCGAGGTACGTCGAATGACCAAGGTGCCGACCCTGGTGTCACAGAGACGCCCTACAGCTGCCACCGGGAGGGCCGCGGTTGGCAACAGTGGCTGGGCAAAGCCGGTAAGCCTCACCCCAATTCCAAGGACAGTGCTGGGTCGATGCTCACTGTCTCATAGAAGATGCGAAAGACCAAAATCGAGCCTCCAGACTATCTGAGACACGAAGAATACCGACGTGAGTCTCTGCCATCCCCCCAGCGGGAGGCCATGGAGTATAGCGACGACGGTGAGAGTCCCGACGAATGCTGATAGAAGGGTCGGGTCTGTCCACTCCACCCAGCTAGGCCCGTTTAGAGGACTGACACCTCTGGGGTTGCACTGGGCTGGTGAAATCTTCTAATTTAGCTTGCGGCTTGAGTTGAGGATCAGGGGCGACATGTTGCTGAAGTAAAAAATCGCAAGGAAAAAAAGTCGTACGCAGGGACATAGTACAGACACAGACAAGCTAGAAAACGAATGGACTTCTATTTGCCAACCCCCCCCCCCCCCAGTCCCTTTCTCTCCTTCCCTCTTTGTGAGCGCCGTTTCTGTCTTTTTTTCCACTTATTTTTCATACCCGGCCTCGAGCTGCCTCGCTGGCCACCCACCTCTACGTTCTGGAGCTCTAGGGCAGATTTCGTCGCGGCCAGCCACGCAGAGGCAGGCCTGGGCAAAGAAACTCTAGCCATATTCCAAAATGCAGGATTAATCAAGCTCAACCACTCCATGGCCAAGCCCCCGACTCTAGGACTTGCAAACCCCGTTGAATAATACCTACCATGTCCGCGTTCAAAGCCGCAGCTGGAAGCAGACCCGGCATCATGCCAGAGGCAGGTAGAAATGCAGGACCCCATGTAAGAGGCATGTCAAGCTGAAGAACGACAGCGAAGCCTCCACACCATGGTTTAGCATTTAAGGCGTTTTGTATTCCAAACTTTAATTTATGTCGGTGGTCTTGTTAAGCTTTGGGTCTACAATGGGAGGGCTTGGCTACCTAGCAAGGGCAGCGAATAATTATAATCTGCACGTTCTCGTGGTCTGTTCTGCTCTGATCTGAAGAAGGTTCTCACTTCGGCATCGCATCTCTACAAATACGGAATACTAAAAGATTATGCCCCGTGGTGGCCAGAAATTCTCGAATGCGGCGTGGCTCCAGTGCTGCAGATTATGATGTCATTCGACATCCCGGCATCGTACCCCGAGTGCCGGTCGCCGGTTGGGGGCGCCGCATACGGGGACGGCAGTGGATTCCTTGGCGCGCCCACTGATCGGCAGTCCAACCTGTCTTGAGTCAGGATCTACCTGTCACCGACGAAAGTCCATAGAAAGGATCAACGTCATGATAGAGTCCCAACCCTGCATTCCAACAACTCTGATCGGCACTGCAGGATTTAACTCTGTGAGCCCGCCGGCGTTTCTGACAGGGCCCCCCCCGTCGAGTTGGCGGCATGTCCTGTAATATGACGTCGATCTTGATCCTTTTGGCTTCAGCCCCCTGCTTCGTTGCCTCCGGCCTGTACAACCCGCAGCCTATCGTGAGCAATGGAACAAGGCGGGCCTCGCGAACTACCCCATAATCCGGGGGTCATGAGGGAGTTGAAGGCATCTCCACAAAGATGCCGATCCCCAGACTTTCCATCAACATCAAATGCCCAGCAAGGTTTTCTGCCCCTCTGTAGCTAGGTTGGCCCCAGGTGAACGAACCTATAGTATAGATATATACATCTCCATCCCCCTGAGTTCTGACGTCTCCGACCTCTGACCTCACTTATACTTTCCATCTCCGCCCAACACCAGCGAGTGAACTAGGTTTAGTAGTCAAAGTATTGGATGCTTCAACGCTTGAGGAGACCTAGGTAAGGCACAATGGCGTCGGATCCACCGAAACCCCCCACCGATGCGGAGAAGACCCGAGAGAGGTCGGCCTCCTTGGAGTCTGAGACCAAAGTTGAGCATCATGACGATTCTCCACGAACCGCCCCTAGTCTTGACAAGTTCGATGAGGCCACCAGGCAGCGGCTCGAAGCCTCGCACAAGCTGGCACACCCTCTCGCCGGCATCAGCCAGGAGCGACTGGGTGTCATGGGCGAGGAGTATGCACGAGACTCTGGCATGACGAGTGACGAGGATATTCGCGCTTTCCGCCTGGGTGCCATGATCGCCGGCAATGAGAACAGATATGACACTATCGCCGAGCTCACCGAGCGCGAGCGGGAAGTCCTGGATCGCGAGGAGACACACAAGTGGTCGAACCCTTCAATGCTCTACTGGGTCATCGTCAGTAAGTCCACACAAGACCCCCAAATTTCTCACACGGAGAGATAGGAGAGAGACTGACGCGGGGTCAACAGTCTGTTCGCTCTGCGCTGCCGTCCAGGGTATGGACGAGACCGTCGTCAACGGCGCACAGTCCTTCTACAAGGTCCAATTCGGTATCGGCGATCCAAACAGCTCCCGAGACTCGTGGCTCCTCGGACTGTGCAACTCGGCCCCGTATCTCTGCTGTGCCGTCGTCGGGTGTTGGCTCACCGATCCCATGAACCGCGCCTTTGGCCGCCGCGGGACCATCTTCATCGCTTGCTTGATCTCGGCCCTGGCATGTTTCTGGCAGGCGTTCACGAATACCTGGTACCACATGTTCATCGCGCGCTTCTTCCTCGGATTCGGAATCGGACCCAAGTCGGCGACGACTCCGATCTTTGCGGCAGAGTGTGCCCCTCCTAAGCTGCGTGGTGCCTTGGTCATGGTGAGTTTTCCCTTCCGGTGGTCAGGGTGCGCACGGATTCTGGACGGTTCCGGCTGACCTCGTCCGTCACAGCAATGGCAAATGTGGACGGCTTTCGGTATCATGATCGGTTACGCTGCCGACCTGGCCTTCTATTTTGTCCCCGACAGTGGCATCCAGCTTGGCCTCAACTGGCGCCTGATGATGGGCTCTGCCATGATCCCTGCCGTCATTGTGTGCTGCATGATCCACATGTGCCCCGAGTCGCCTCGTTGGTATCTCTCAAAGAACAAGCCCCAAAAGGCGTTCGACGCTGTCTGCCAGCTCCGCCACGAGAAGGTTCAGGCAGCACGCGACCTGTTCTATATGAGCACCCTCCTCAAGGTCGAGCAAGAGGCCATGTCTATCGGCAAACAGAGCCGAATCAAGGAATTCTTGACCATCCGACGGAACAGGAATGCCATGATTGCGAGCGAGATCGTCATGTTCATGCAGCAAATGTGCGGAGTCAATGTAAGAACGAGTGTCTTCCTGGATGTGATGATAAGTGCTCGTCGCTGACATGAGTAATACAGGTCATTGCCTACTACTCGTCTGAGATCTTCCTGGATGCTGGCTTCTCCCCGGTCAGCGCGCTGGCCGCCTCTCTGGGATTCGGCGTTGTCAACTGGCTCTTTGCTCTCCCTGCATTCTACACCATCGACACCTTCGGGCGGCGAAATCTCCTGTTGACAACATTCCCCCTAATGTCACTGTTCCTCTTCTTCACCGGCTTTAGTTTCTGGATTCCCCAACAAGCTACGGCGCACATTGCCTGTATTGCCCTGGGAATCTACCTGTTTGGCGTGGTATACTCTCCCGGCGAAGGCCCCGTACCGTTTACCTACTCGGCGGAGGCATACCCCCTATATATCCGGCCGATCGGCATGTCTCTCGCGACGGCGACGACGTGGTTCTTCAACTTCGTCCTGTCCGTAACCTGGCCATCGCTCCTGGGGGCGTTCAAGCCACAGGGGGCCTTCGGCTTCTACGCGGCCTGGAACATCGTCGGCTTCTTCGCCGTGCTGTTCTTCGTGCCCGAGACAAAGGAGAAGACGCTCGAGGAGCTGGACAGCGTCTTCGACGTCTCCATCAGCAGCCAGATCAAGTTCGGCGCGGCGCAGTTCGTCTACTTCTTCCGCCGATACATCTTCCGGCAGGACGTCGCGAAGCCCCCCGTCCCCCACTCCGAGGCGATCGCGTATCACGAGAAGACTTTTGCGCAGGAGCAGCAGAGGGACGCCACGGCGAGGGTCTAAGGATGGGGTTTTCGAAATGGTTTTACCATTTCGAGAAGGGTCCACGGACTCGTCATGTTTTTGTTATGTCTTTGGGAGGAGGACTTTTGGTTTCCTGTTTCGGGATCTACGTTAAGAAGAGGGCGGCGAGGTACCGGTTTGCATGATACCAAAGTATGTATGTACAGTACATACGCACTTACGACTTACGTTCCTTAAATTTCAAAAAATTATGAATTTAAAAGAATAACTAACTAGTCTGGAATATTGATCAGCTGAGGTGAAATGATTGGGTCCCTGGAGGAACAAAGGGTCCGTAGGCCTTGTACAGCGATATATCAGCTTCTCCGCGGAGGTTTCTTACCTTGTTAGCTGACTTACGTCCACCACTACGATGACGGAACTCGAGATATAGGAGAATACCAGACTGTTACGTTGAGCATGCGAAGGACCGTGAACAGTTGCATTTTATTTCTAGTTAATGTATTGCACATGAACCTCGTCCGGTTAAACCAAGCCATATACATCCAGTCCCCTATTTCCGCTAATCCAGCAACTCTTTCATCCTTAATAAACTGCGTATAAATACATACATAAAAGTGGGTCGCCACAACATAATATTATAGTAAAGATAATAGTGCGTTAACGAGACTTCGCTGAATCTTTTTGATGATCGACGAATCCCACGGGGTTAGTTTTCGCTCCAGCTTCCAGCCACAATCATTGCTTCTTCGTCGTCGCTGTCTGACCCCTTCGAGCTTATTTGCAAAGCGCCCTACCAGGGAAGAGAAACCGATGATCATCTTGGGAGGGCGGCTCAGCAACACCCAAAAACAGTCGGCCGATCATCGAGACTGACGCTGGGCAACACCGCCTGACGTTGTGGCAGGCACAGCACCTCTGCCGTTTGGATTTGGTGAACCGACGGGAAGATGAGGCCAGGATAATGTTGACTCGGTCACCTGTCCCGCCAAGCCCAGCCAATTCGTCTCCCAGGGGCTCCCATCACTCATTCCACTATGCTTCTGCTGCCAGTCACCACCAGTCTCCATCCCGGATCTCGGTCCTTTTGCCTCGGCGCCAGTCCTCGTCCTCAGCGTCGGGTGGTGCTATGCCATCATCGCCAGCCTACCCACGGCCGAAAAGATATGTCGGAGTAGACGCCGCCACACAATACTCGCCCATGGAACCCGACAGCCCCGCGGGCGCAAACCTAGCCTCTCCGCTACCGCCCGAGTCGCAACTTGCGCCACCTCAGACTCTAGGGACGATGCCCGTGACCCAGCCTGACGAAGAGCCCTTGCGCTCGCAGCAAGCGGATGCGATGCCATCGTCCTCGAAACAGTCGTACCAACCCGAGCCGTCAAACACAGCGTCCCCTATCAAGAGGAGGAATTCCCAGGGCCCCGGCGGCGGTAGCGCGGTCTCGGCAACCGCCTCTATAACCCCCTCGGTACTCGCTAAGCGTGTCAAGCCCGACACAGCACCTCCCAAGGTGCTACCTGAGAAATACGAGCTCTGTCCCGTCGAGGACATAGTGGTCTTGATCGCCAACATGCTAGGGGAGCTAATCGAAACAAACGATGCCTTGGCACTGAAGTCTGGTCATTTGACCAGGTTCCATTCTCGGTACGATAAAGTCGTGTGCTGCACCTACTATCCGTGTAACCAAGACTGACGCATCCTTAGAACTGCGCCGGGGATATCTGTCTTGGATTATCTGCATCGACTGGCGAAACACGCCACTCTGACCCCTCCGCTTCTTCTTTCAATGGTCTACTATATAGACCGTCTCTGTGTGTCCTACCCCGACTTTACGATTAACACACTCACCGTCCATCGTTTCCTCATAACCTCTGCCACCGTGGCTGCGAAGGGGCTATCGGATTCGTTCTGGAACAACTCGACGTACGCGAGGGTAGGCGGCGTGAGGCTGGCCGAGCTCAAACTCTTGGAACTAGAGTTCCTATACCGGGTTGACTGGAAGATAGTTCCGAATCCCGAAGTGTTGGTCGCATACTACCGCGGCCTGGTTGAGCGTTGTCCTGGCTATGTCCTGCTCGACGAAGAGGGGGCGGGCGAGGACGAGGGTGACAGCGACGATATCGGGGACGACAACAGCGACGAAATAGGAGAAGGAGATGATCAAGCAGACGAAACCGCAAAGGACAGCCAGGGGTCAGAATCGCCGGAACTTGTCCGCGAGGCAGGGGCCGGACAGACGAGCAATGGATAACAGAGCAAACTCTCTTAGAAAGACAGCAGTACAATACGTGGACTGTGTGCTGTAATCGAGGCACCTCCAGAGGAGAGCGGGCGACGCACGCCCGCTATTTGCCCTAGGCACTCGGCGTCCTAGAGCCCCCTTTAGGGGTAAGCTGTGCCGCATACTCTACGGCTACAATGGAGCAGGGCGGCTCGAGAATCATGACACTGAAGCAAGCCATGGACCTCTGGTGGTACTGGCACATCGGGCTTTGCCCTGGGGACTTCGGAGACGAGCGGAGACGAGCGAGCGAGGATGACCAATCTAGAGACCCCTATCTTCTGGGGCGGCGCTGCAGTTTTGAGACCATCTCGACGGTAACAAGCTGCTAAATGAATGAACGCGTAAATGAACGATAACTTGCAACCGTGTATTCTTTTCTTCCCGTTGTGAAGCAATGTCCGTGACGGGAGTTCCCAGGTCAGAATGAGGAAGGTACGTACAGTACCAGCCTGCTTCCAGTTGACCAATCACGCACTGTGCGTAAAATGGGCTGAATGAAACCGTCCCGATTTGGCACAAACCAAAGCTTCAGTCATCCACTTCGAATCGCGAAATCGTCGTTCCTCGACTTCACCTCAACATCGGGACATCTCGACCGCAAACGAACACGATGCGGCCGATTCACCATCTTCTCCTAGCCGTCCTCAGCGCAGCCCTGGTTCGCGCCGAGAGCCAGGCGACGGTAGCGACGGCGGCGATCTACCTCCAGCCGATCACATCCCCGGAAGCGCCGCCGAGCCTCCTAGCCGAGGTCGCGTACGACCCCTCGGACCCGTCGGCGCCGGAGGTCACGAGCTACGAGGCGCCCGAGCTTCCGGACGAGGCGCGGCTGGTGCGGGTGGGCATCTACGACCGCTCGGCGGCGCGGTGGGCGTCGTCGACGACGGTGGCGTCGGCGGACAGCTTTGGGAAGGGGTACTCGCCGCACTTCACGGTGTCGGTGGATCTGGAGGGGAACGGGCTTGGGGTCTCGTGCAGGGGGGTCAGGATCGATGCCGGGCACACGAGGGACTTTGGCCCACAGGCGAAGGTGGTCGTCACGGCGAGGGGCAAGCAGCCTGACCTGAATAAGCCAGTGGTACTGTCGCCTGAGGGGAGGACTGTGGTACAGGAGGAGAAGTCATGGTTCTTGAAGTACGTGTGCCCTCTCCTCCTCCCGTTCAGTTTGATGCTCTACTTGGACAGATTGGCTAACCTGTCGACAGGTACTGGTGGGTGTTTGCTGTCGGGCTCTTCCTTCTCACGTCGGGCGGTGGTGGTGGAGACAAATAGAATACAGTTATTTCTACAGCAGATGCGCTCTTTGAGAACAAATGAATATCTTGCGTCTGGTAGTGGACAGGTAGGTAATGTCTCTAATGTGACGGCAAGTGCCTGGCTTGTTTCTTGAGTCTGTTTCTGTGCCATATTTTCCCATATTTTCCCATATTCATTAATCCGAGGAAGTCCTCGAGTACAAACTAAAGCCACAGCAGGAGCTGAGGAATAAGACGATTGAACCTCGCAGCTCCGATTATGGTGCGTAGGTGTGCCATAGTATTACATGGCGCAGGTAACAAATCACATGAACGGTCAGCTGGTTGCCCGGTGACAGGTGTTGGCTGAAGCCCCACAAAATGGTGCCAAATAAAATGGATGGAGGCGCCGCTGCACGACATAACCGCCGCTCGCATCCACTTACTAGTCTTTCGCCGTTCACCTTCGATTTGCAGATTATACCTTCGACCCTCCCTTAACCACTCACCATCGCCACCTGCACTCTCCAATATCATCAACTTCAAAATGGCAAACGAGAACGGCACTACTATTCCCCAGGACGCCGAAGTCCAGAACACTGAGTTCGGCGATTCCAAGGGCAAAGGCAAGGCTGTTGCCACCGAGGACCGCCATGCGCAGGACACTGCCATGAACGAGGACGATGATGACGAGGATGAGGACGAGGAAGGTGACGAGGTATGTTAATCCACGGTCGCAGCCAATTCCCTCCATCACATAGCTGACTCTTGGTGCAATAGGATGCTGAAGGTGGTATGTACACAACCCAGTCACATTGACCCTAGCTTATACACAGACATGTCTAACAATTTCCCGGTGTAGCCGAAGAGGAAGAAGAGGACGGCCTGGAGGAGATTGACCTCGACAACGTCGTCGGCCGCCGGACGCGTGGCAAGGTTATCGATTTCGCCAAAGCTGCCGAAGAGCTCCCCGCCGAGAATGACGAGGACGAGGAAGACGATGATGACTTTGAGGGTGACGAGGGCGGAGACAGGATGGACGAGGACTAAGTGAGCCTTGTCTGTGGCCGCGGCATCGATTGCGATTCTGGTACGGTCTGCGGATGGTTTACGGCTAATGCATTGGTACTGGAAAAGTTCCCTCTCCCATTTTTCAGAGCTGGAAGCTCCCGTCATATCCGTTCTGGTACGGGAGTTTGGGATGATTCAGGTGGTATAGAGGGAGTTTATCTCGGACTCGTCGGCCGTCGAGCCTGCTTTATCCTGTGAATCGCGGTGAAATTGGTTACCTAACTGATGTGCATATGCGAACCGTTACCAGCATCCAAGAGGGAGGTCCTGATAGCTGCTCTTCCATTTGGCTGGGCGTTATTGCCGAGTCCGTACCAGGACAGGAAATGCAAATCTAGACATCACTCTGAAAAGATATTGTACTACTTCTTGCGCAAATGGGAGCATCCGCCTAGGCTACCTTGAAATTGGTACTTTGCATGGAAAAATCTATTGATCACTCAGCAAGCCTCCTCAGTTGTTTTGGTATTGATAATTGAGCACCGCTAGAGGCTCGTGATCAGGACCTAAGGACCTATTGTTGGACTTGAAGACTGCCGGGCTATCCCAGCATCAAGCCTGGACCCAGTGATAGGCTCCGTGAATAGTGGGGTTCATCTTGCCAATTGACCAATCACAGAACGCCAAATTTCTCGACTTGTGACTGCCACATGTGTAACAAATAAAAGAACCTGAAATTAGTACTGATCTTTGTATGCCGATATGTCCCCTTTCGCCTCCCAACATCTTCTTTTGTGAGAGAGCATCATGGCATCAAGGTGAGTCCCCAACCCCCCCTTTTCGGACGATCTTGCCTCTTCGGAGACGGTTTGGGAGCATCAAACGACTCTCAACCAGGTGGTTGGCGATATGGCGCTGCCTAACACGCCCGCGCCCCATGATCGCCAGCGTTTCGCTCCCGACCGGGCCGTCCCCGAAGAAACCGCAACCTCAGTGAATCCGAGAACGAAACCCGGAATGCATTTGGCTGACGCCTCGAAAACCCTCTCTTTTGCAGATTCGGGAGCTCATCCCTCCACCAGCGCGACTCGCGCAGCGCCCTATTCGAGGGATACACGGGATCAGGGTCAGGTGGCCGGCCCGTCAGCACCAGCCCGAGCCGAGCCGGCGGCTACGGATACGGCTACCCGGGGGCAAACGGGGGTGCCGCGGCAGCACCAGGCGGGCACCTAGGCGTGGAGAAGAGGGGGTTCCGGCCTGCGACGCCGAACTCGAGGTACGTCGTCGCCGGAAGTTGCAGTGCAATGGTGGTTGTAAGGGGTCGGTTTTGCTGACTATAGTTTCTCGGCAGGGGCCAGTACAGTGGTGCGGTACTCGATGAGCTGGAGAGCCAGAACGATGCGCAGGTCGAAGGCATCTTGGGGAAGGTCAGGGTTCTCAAGGATGTAAGTGGTCAACATTCCGGCCTGGGAGGAGTTGGCTCTTTGAAAGGAGCCGAGGCAGAATCGTGCGATGCTGACTTGGACGCCCTACTGCGACTCAGATGACGATGGCCATCGGCGACGAGATCAGGGAATCGTCCGCACTGGCGGAGAAGATGAACGACTCCTTCGACCAGACGAGGCTGCGCCTGCGCGGCACCATGAACCGGATGCTGTTGATGGCAGAGAGGACGGGCGTCGGTTGGAGAGTGTGGCTTGCCTTCTTCACGGCTGTCATCCTGCTCTTCATGTACGTCTGGCTCTTCTAGTTCGCAGCGGCTTCCTCCCTCCGGACCTCTTTACGTTTCCTCTCGACGAAATCGGCGCAACGGTCGCATAGAAATGCTTGCCAAAGCTACGGGTCTGCATTGGGGTTACGGGCGTTATGGCGCCTCCCTTGATTTGAGCAGGGAGTTTTTGTACGTCATAGCAAACACTGCATTGGACGGGGGCGCGTGGGTCTCGATATGGCTTTGTAATGATCATCGTCGGGTGTAGTCGGTTCTACCGTGATGCTATTGAATTCGAATATATGTATACCACACCACGGCTTAGAATGGGCCAGGGGTTTCTGCCCTAAGGGTATCTCTATCTTATCTTATGTCGGGCGCGTCTCTTTACGACCCTGTAGCATGATGCCAGCACGCTCCACCGCTTAGCCGTGTAAGTGATTCCTCCGTCGAACTTGCGGACTGCTTCCCGCCAGACTGCTCCCGTCACGGGACAGGATGCTGTTGATGTCGAGGCTGGTCCTCGCGCCATCGCTGCGAACGAGGCTGCTCCCGAACCGCGAGGCTGGCGGCGCCCGGGCCCCAGCGAAGCTCGTATTCTGGCCGCCGTCGTCGCTGCTGCTGCCCAGCTCGGCCTCGGTGTCAGTGTGCTCGTAGACTCCACTTTCTGCCTCGGGGATGTCATCGTCCAGGTCGGCATCCATGTCCAAGTCCATGCCGGGTTCGACTTCGTGCTGGTGGTGGTGCGACATGTGGACCAAGTCATCCTCCTCGAGCATCTGGGAGGGGTCTTCGTTGTCGAGCTCCTCCTCCCCGCCGTAGATGTCGGACCCCACGTCCTGCCCGCGTACCATCCGCTCCCGGGCCCGGTCCTCCGCCGCCCGCACGGTCGCCAGCCGATTCGCGAGCTCCCTCTGCTGGGCCCTCCTCTGCTGAGCCGCGCCCGTTCCATGGCCCCCGTACACTCCACCATCCCCGTCGTCGTCATCGTCGTCGTCCTCCCCCTCCTCCTCATCGTCATCATCGCTGGCCCCGTCGAAGCCAAACCCGCCCTCGTCAGCATCGGGGATGTCATCATCCAAGTCCCTCCCCCCGCCCACGACATCCTCATCCATAGCCTCGCCGCCCTCCAACCCCTCCTCGTCGTCGTCGTCCAGCCCCAGTGCCCCGGCGCCCGCCGCCTCGGCCTCGGCCTCGGCCAGCTCCAGGGCCAGCTGCTCGCGGCGCAGTGCCTCGGCGTGTTCCTCCTGCTCGCGGCGCTCCTCGCGCATCTGGAACAGCGACTTGACCACGCCGGGCGGCTTGAGCCACGTCGCGCCAAAGTTGGACACGTTGAGCCGCCGCCGCTCCATGTACGCCTCGTCGGCGCGCAGCCGCGCCAGCGCGGACCGCTCGACGGCCGCCGCCGCCGCGGAGTGGGTCGTCGGCCGGGCCGGCCGCGGGCCCGTCGAGGGACCGCCGCCCGGCGCGCTGGAGGGGTTGCCGCCTTCGGGGTCGAGGTGCGGGGGAAGTTGGTTGGGGTTTCGGGACGAGGTGTACCAGAGAGAATGGGACTGGGTGAAGAGTTGTTAGGCCTAAGTAATCTGGGGAAAGGGGGGAAGGGAATATAAGTAGCTTACGTCGCGAGGCGTGAGATCTGGAAGGAGGGACAACATTTCGTTTTATATTGGCCGGTTGGCGTTTGGCGTTTGGCGCGAGAGTGAGAATTGTAACCGTGTCAGGTGCTTGAAGCCATAGAGAGCGCTGATTTACGGCGGCAGGGCTTTGGTATCAATTGGTTCGACGTGGGTGTGGCTAGAATGCCTAATCTTGGGAAGGTAGGTGTTTGTCCGTTCACGATAGCATCAACCTCACAGGCAACCAAACCAACCCACACAGAGTAAACAATGGGTCACGGTGTGAATTAAGGCTTAGTTGTGGAATCTAACACAGTGTAAAGCACGGTCTTATGGTACGTACTTTACCCCACAATTGAGGCTACGCTAACAAATGCCAAGATTGCCTTGGTGCGAGTTCCTGGGTCCATATGACTCTCATGGGAAACTCTGGTCAAGTGTGAGCCTCTGTCATATTCGCGCCGTAATATCCAATGCCACCACCTGCCGGATCCGTGGACTCCACTGCATCTTCCCTTAAGGATGCAAGGCGACTTGGAAAGGCATGCAGGCGGATGCGGGACAGGCTTTCCGCTGAATCATGGCCCCGCTGCAGAGACAACATGGGCCAGTCACCAAACTCAGTCCTATGGTTAATCCCCGGATGCTGTCCGCCGCTGAGACCGTCTCTTCCCTTTTCATCCGTCTGTGCTCTGGGCCAAGGCATTGGCCAATGCATTCGAGTGGATAGGGCAATGTTTTGATGTGACGTAATTCAGGGTCCTGGTGCAGGTTTTATATTCGCAGGACTGACTGACCCAGTATGACACCTTTAAAGCGGCGGCACTGGGTGAGCCCCGAGGAAGCTCTGGACACAAATCCCATCGTATGTATCCGCCATTATGAGGGTTATTCTCAAGACTTAATAAGTCTAGAAGCCGGAGAGCCTGGGACTTGGCATCCTGGAGTGTCTGGAGTCCTGGGTAGGCTTTCGGGAGTTTTCGGAAGGGAACGGTCCCCTCCCCCAGAGTCCCAGGTATTAATTGGAAGCTTTCAGAACTTGCCTAAAAGTTATGACAAAGAACTTCTTTGCTAGTTGGGTTTTCCATGTTGATCTGCAGTATCCATCCCTCTCCCTTCCATTTTGTCTCCTGCCGCCCCGAACAGATTATGCGGGTTTGCGGTTTTTGCTGTAGTCGTAGGTGTACTCCGTACACCACTCCAATTCCTTTATTCACTCTCACCGACCCCGGTTGATATGCCGATGCCGGTCCCTCTTGCTAAGGTCCTTCTTGTGATAGGGCTGTTTGAGAGCGACACGCAGAACGAAGATGTCAGATCCTGCCCCGGGCCACGTAAAACGTACATCCTGGACGTATTTCCTCGACCCACGAAATATCTGGCCGATGTGTTACCTACCTATCCGGGTGGAAAACAACGGACAGACCTGTGCCCCTCGTTGCTGAAAATCTCGGTATCCTACCTAGGATACCGAGACTGAGAAGTGCCATCTTGCCCAGACGAAAATGAACTTTGGCGCGTCCGTTTCAAGTCTAATCGTCTGTGCGTCGGTGGCGCACGGCGATCTCAAACCAATTTGCACTAGTTGCAGGCAGTACGGGGGTACCTACTGAGGTGTGCGTTACCTTACCGTAGTACTCACTCAGAGCAGAAATTGGGGCCGTGTGATTGGTGCGAGATAAGGCAGATTGGGCATTTTCTGGTGACAATTTTTTGACAATACTTGAGGCGGCGGATTGTGCAGAAAAGGAACCTAGGATTCTGCATCCAGGCAATGCAGGTCTGCTCGCCCTATCTGGCGCGGGCGCAACTGAAGTTGGGTCGCACAGTTCGCTATTCCGTTCCCAGCCCCCACCGTCGCGTGCACAAAAACGCAGAGCCGCAACCGATGGGCACGATACTGCTGCGAACCTCCAAAACCTCAACGTGATGGTGTGGCTGCGGCGCTGATTCAAAGTTCATCCAGACCCTGCTATCCTTGCTGAAAAGTGGGCGTTGCCGGACCGCAGGGATCAATGAAGCCTCCTCAAGCTTGTTTCTCCATCTCCAAGCTGTGGGCGACATCGGCCAGTGTTTCTTTGAAAAGCAACAGTTGTGATTGGCGGGGCCGTAACGGGAGCCCAGTCAGCTCTGACGCCGCTTAACTGCTGTCAACAGGGATTATCGAAATCATTCCGGATGGTTCGCATGCAGAGTGTGCTTGTGGATCTCGAACCCCCCTGCATCATCCCTGCAGCTCTGCAGCCAGGTGTGGGGGAGATCTAGGCCAGTTTCTCTTACACAAGTGCTTCGACAACTCGAATTTTCACCACCACACAGCTCGCGTTCAGTAGAGAGATAGAGAGTAGCTTGGACGGACCGAACAGACTCTGGATAATTAGTCCATTTGCCCCGTCTGGAACTTCCTCCGAATCTTCCCGTTCCTTGCAGGTGAGTTGGCAGTGCAGGGCAGGGCAACCCCCGACACAGGAGCAACACTGCATTCCGCCAGAAGATTCTCGCAGGTGATTGGTACTGAGGCGGTGAGATTTGTTTGTTCACGAACTTGTTAAGCCTCCGATTGGCCATGGGGTGATTGGCCGTGTGTCAGATCTTCGAAGTAAGAAACGACAGCTCATCCGGGAACTGTGGATTCTGAATGACAAACCGTGTTCATAGGGGATCCCGTCTGCATTTCAAAGTTGAGGGCAGCTTGGCTACCCAGGTGCTGGCTCTAATGCGCACCTACGTCCCGGTAGGCGCGTTTCGTTTCCAACCACCTTTCACGGCCGGATCTTTATCCAGGCATCCCCATTGCATGGGTTTGTGGTCTCGGAAGCAAGGGTCGATGATCGGCCAGTCACAGGCTCGCTTGTCAATACGGCTGAGAGGCCTGACCGATCGGACGGTAAGACCCTGCTGGTCCAACGCAGGGCTATGGTTTGCCCGTGCTGCCCTTTGCTTCAGGATATCCAATTGTATTATACCTATCCGTATTGCATGTACAGATGTACAGCACTGCGTATGTTATTTAATTCCTCGTGGATCAGTCTCGCATTTTCGCCTTTCACTTTTGGTGGTTCGTTCGCACGTGGATATTGCCGGCCGAGGGACAGCCCACATTCGGTACATCTGGGGGGACTAGGTGGGATGACCGCGGGTATTCGTGCAAATCGTCATATGTTAGTTGCCCGTCCCATGAACCCATGTATTTCATTCCGAGTCGTACTTCACTCCTCCCCCCCGGTCGTCCCAAGCAGCCTTTCGAGCTTCACTCCCCACCTTGGCGATTTTCTACCTGCGAAGCTAGGTTTGCGTTAAGCACTAGCTGCCACATTTGCTCTCGCACCAAGTAGACTCTCGCCGTTTCCCTAGGCCTTTTTCCATCCCCCCTTCTCTCTTATCTACGTACCCCACTAGGTACCTATCCTCTGTGTGCCTGTCTCAACCACTCCCCTCTGCACGCACTGCTCGCTCTCTCTCCCCGAGTTGGCCACCACCATCTGTTTTATAAAAGCAAGCTTGCCACCCCTCCTTCGTTCTTCTTCCTCTCTTTTCTCTTCTTTCACCAATTCTGCCCTAGACCAGTCGAATTAGAGCTACTACCTGGCCTCCAGATACTTCCTGAAGCACAGAGTAGCAGCTACCAGCTGCCTTGTTAAGGCCAACACATAAGTCCGAAAGTAAGTTGCTATGATCCCAGTGAAATGTCAATTCACTGTGCCCAACGCCTGGCGTCCGTTATATTTTCTTCCTGGGGATGAATATGTCTCCCAATGGCTCGCTGCTTCTCGTCTGGCCTTCCGTTGCTCTTCCAAGTCCAAGTGGAGCTGCTTTTGGGGTTGCTGTGAATTCATAGCCGCAGCAGTGGAGGCACTCGAAAGCACGGGGAACCCGGACAACAAGGCGACCGAAGCTTGACGATCCGGAAACAAACGACAATAAAACGGACGCCAAATCCAAATCCAAGTGGGACATCTCTGGGCGTTAGTGGGAACCCCAAGAAAGTTGCTGGCGACCCCACCCAAGAAGCGCTTCCTTCCCGACCACCCTCGACTCGAAATCCCACTCCTCCAATTTGGTGATGCAGGCCAGCTCGCCTGCGACCCCAAAGATATTATCTCCCGTCGTCCTGATAGGGTGACAGACCACAGCCGCATGGGGACGATAAGGGCAACCCCAAATTGACCTGTCGTCATATTGCATCCCGCGCAGGAAATGCAGGAAGCGGCCCAGTGACAAGGAGCTATACAGTTTGGGTCCCGTTCAGACTCCGGGCGACACCAAAATGTTATCTTCCCGAAATAAGGCCATCATGCATCTGGACGCTCTACTGCGCTACATGTGCGTGTAAAAAGGAATATGCGCACAACAACATTGTCAGCAACGTTACCAGGATCCGGAGTGACACACATTCTCGCCGCGGACTTGTCCCTTTCCACAAGCACTGGATTCCTCCTACTCCTTGGCCCTGTACATCAATCAGGCTTGCCACCCATGGTGGACCCCACCAAGCCTCCCCGGTGTTATCCTGGATATTGTCCAAGGAAATGTAGATCTAAAGCCACCAGCCATTGGGAGATCTTGCTGTCTTTATTGTTTTCTCTTCCTTTCTTTCCATTCGGCAGTCTTACTCTTCCGACCTCAACTAACTTTCCATCTCCTCGCTATTAGATACTACTACTAGGACACCTTGTCAAGGCTTCAATCACGACATTTCTCGGCTCGATAAAGGCAAAAAGGCTTGCCTAGCATGGGCCTGAACGACGAGTTTGACGATCGACAGACACACTCTTTAGCCGAGTCCGAGGAATATCATCCCTATGAATATCAAACGGAAAACAACACCTCATGGGCTGGCGCCCTGCCGGTGAAGCAGTGCGTATTGAGACTCTCTCTTCCCACTCGGGCGCGAGCTTGTGCTAACACCTTTGCAGAGGGTTGTATGACCCTAGCCTTGAGAAGGATGCTTGCGGTGTAGGCTTTACTTGGTAAGACATGATAATAATACTTCTTCCCGCCCCTTTCCTCTTCATTACTTGTAATAGCAGCTCTGACAGTCGCGCAGCCACATCAAGGGCAAGCCAAGCCATAAAATCGTCAGCGATGGTACGTTTTGCCTTCCTCTAACCCCTCGCGACTCACAGAGGGCTGACATGCGTAGCACGGAACCTTTTGTGCAACATGGCGCATCGTGGTGCCGTCGGTTCAGATGCTCGAGATGGCGACGGTGCAGGTGTCATGACCTCTATCCCGCACAAGTTCTTCATCAAGAACTTTGAACGCGAGGTTGACATTAAGCTCCCTCCTCTGGGTCAATATGCGGTTGGGAACCTGTTCTTTAAGCCCGATCAGGAGACGGTGCAGGAGTCAAAGCGGCAGTTGGAAGACATTGCCGAGTCCTTGGGTCTCAGGGTTCTGGGATGGCGAGAGCCTCCCGTTGACTCTAGTCTACTTGGCCCTGCAGCTGCCTCGCGGGAGCCCATCATCCTGCAGCCTTTTGTTGTTCTGCAATCCGCCTATGGGTCTGGCAATGCGCCCGAGGTCACCGATCCTGAGAAGTTCGATGAGAGACATTTTGAGAGGCAACTCTACGTGCTCCGGAAACGCAGCACCCACACCATTGGTCTGCATAACTGGTTCTATCTCTGTTCTCTTTCGAACAAGAATATTGTCTACAAGGGACAGCTAGCACCCATCCAGGTGTACCAGTACTATCACGATCTGGTAAACGCAGACTATGAAGCTCACTTTGCTCTCGTGCACTCTCGCTTCTCCACGAACACTTTTCCCTCGTGGGATCGTGCACAGCCCCTGCGCTGGGCTGCCCACAACGGTAGGTGATCTGGGCGAATGCAGATAACTTCATGGGCCCGAAAGCTGATCTAGATTTCAGGTGAGATCAACACCCTCCGGGGCAACAAGAACTGGATGCGTGCGCGCGAGAGTGTCATGCAATCCGACGTGTTTGCCGACGACCTCGAGATGCTCTACCCCATCGTCGAGGACGGAGGCTCCGACTCGGCTGCCTTTGACAACGTCCTCGAACTCTTGATGATCAACGGCGTCCTCTCGCTGCCCGAGGCGGTCATGCTCATGGTCCCCGAGGCATGGCAGGGGAATGCCCTGATGGATCCCAAGAAGGCTGCTTTCTACGAGTGGGCTGCATGCCAGATGGAACCCTGGGACGGCCCGGCATTGTTTACCTTTGCCGACGGCCGATTCTGCGGCGCCAACCTCGACCGCAATGGTTTGAGGCCTTGTCGGTACTACGTAATGGATGACCACCGCATCATTTGCGCCTCCGAGGTTGGCACCATCCACGTCGAGCCCGAGCGGGTGATCCACAAGGGCCGCTTGCAGCCGGGTCGCATGCTGCTCGTCGACACCCACGCTGGTCGCATTATCGACGACTCTGAGCTGAAGGCCACCGTGGCTAACCGGTGCGACTTTCGCGCCTGGCTCGACGATGAGTTGATTTCGCTACCGAAAATCGTGGACACTCTGAGCCAGGAGGGCGCGGCTGAGCTTGCTGCCAAGCCGGATGCGACGAAGCTTCAGGAGGACCCTCTTCTCCTCGCGTTTGGCTACACGTTTGAACAAGTGAGCTTGCTTCTGGCGCCCATGGCCTCGGATGAAAAGGAAGCCCTGGGGTCCATGGGCAACGACGCTCCTCTGGCCTGTCTCGCTCAGGCGCCGCGGCTGCTGTACGAGTACTTCAGGCAGCTCTTCGCTCAGGTCACCAACCCTCCTATCGACCCTATTCGGGAGTCCATCGTCATGTCACTAGAATGCTACGTTGGGCCCCAGGGCAATCTTCTCGAGATGGATCCGTCGCAGTGTGGACGCCTTCTCCTGCCAAGCCCGATCCTGTCGATTCGTGAGTTCAATGCGCTCAGGAACATGGCAAGCCTTTACCCCAAGTGGACCGTGAAGATCATCGATATCACGTTCCCAAAGAAGGAAGGCATCGAGGGCTATGTCAAGCACCTCGACTATATCTGCAGAGAAACCACATCGGCGATTGAGGCCCGGGACCGCATCATCGTCCTCTCGGACCGAAACACCTCGGCCGACCGAGTTGCGGTGTCCGTCCTCCTTGCCTCCGCCATGGTCCACCACCATCTCGTGAGCAACAAATGGCGTGCCATGGCTGCCATCGTTCTCGAGACTGCCGAAGCCCGTGAGGTCCACCACATGTGTGTCCTGCTCGGTTACGGCGCGGATGCCATCAACCCATACCTGGCAATGGAGTGCATTATGAAGCTCAACCGCGAGAAGCTGATCAAGAGGAAGATGACGGATGATGAACTGATCCATAACTATAAGCATTCCTGCGACGGCGGGATCCTCAAGGTCATGAGCAAGATGGGCATCTCCACCCTTGCCAGCTACAAGGGCGCCCAGATCTTCGAAGCTCTTGGTATTGACGACACCGTCGTCGACCGTTGCTTCAAGGGCACCGCCTCGCGTATCAAGGGCTTGACGTTCGACCTCATCGCTGAGGATGCCTTCCGCTTCCACGAACGGGGCTTCCCTTCCCGATACACCGTGGGCGTTGTTGGTCTTCCCGAATCCGGAGAGTACCACTGGCGTGACGGCGGAGAGGCCCACGTCAACGACCCCGCCTCCATCGCGAACATCCAGGACGCCGTCCGCACCAAGAACGACAAGTCTTACGAAGCGTACTCGCTCTCCGAGTATGAACAGATCAAGGCGTGCACGCTGCGCGGCCTGCTGGACTTCAAGTTTGACGAGTGCACGCCTGTGCCGATTGATCAGGTCGAGCCCTGGACCGACATCGTGCGCCGCTTCTGCACGGGCGCCATGTCGTATGGCTCGATTTCTATGGAGTCTCACTCGACTTTAGCGGTGGCCATGAACCGACTCGGGGGCAAGTCCAACACGGGCGAAGGTGGTGAGGACCTCGAGCGATCCCAGCGAATGGCAAACGGCGATACCATGCGGTCTGCGATCAAGCAGGTGGCCTCTGGGCGATTCGGTGTCACCTCGGCCTACCTGGCGGACTCGGACGAGCTTCAGATTAAGATGGCCCAGGGCGCCAAGCCCGGCGAGGGTGGTGAGCTGCCTGGCCACAAGGTCTCCAAGTCCATCGCCCGCACGCGTCACTCGACCCCTGGCGTCGGCCTCATCTCCCCGCCACCCCATCACGACATCTACTCGATTGAGGATCTGAAGCAGCTGATCTACGATCTGAAGTGCTCGAGCCCCAGATCGCGCGTTTCGGTGAAGCTCGTTTCTGAGACGGGTGTTGGTATTGTCGCCTCTGGTGTTGCCAAGGCCAAGGCTGACCACATCTTGATCTCGGGCCACGACGGCGGCACCGGTGCCTCTCGATGGACCGGTATCAAGTATGCTGGTCTTCCCTGGGAGCTCGGCCTGGCCGAGACCCACCAGACCCTTGTCTTGAACGATCTCCGAGGCCGTGTTGTCGTCCAGACCGACGGCCAGCTCCGGACCGGTCGAGATGTCGCCATCGCCTGCCTGCTCGGCGCCGAAGAATGGGGGTTTGCCACTGCCCCCCTCATCGCCATGGGCTGTATCATGATGAGAAAGTGCCACCGTGCGTTTTTCTTTTCTCACTGTTCTTTCTTACTGTGGTTCTTTCCCCTTCTTTTTGTCGTCGTTTCTCCTTTTACTGTCGTCGTTTCCCCTTCTTACAGTTGTTCCTTCCCCTCCTTGCAGTTGTTCCTTCCCCTCCTTGCAGTCGTTCCTTCCCCTCCCCTCACTCATTCTTTCCCCTCCCTTCACTCATTCTTTCCCCTCCTATTGTTGCCGCCTTCTCCTCTAGCCTACCTCTAGGTGGTATGACCGACTTCCCTAAAAACCAGACTAAGATGGAAGTTATCTAGTAAACACTTGCCCAGTTGGCATCGCCACGCAGGATCCCGAGCTCCGCCAGAAGTTTTCAGGTACCCCTGAACACGTGATCAACTTCTTTTACTATGTCGCCAATGAGCTCCGGGCCATCATGGCCAAGCTCGGCTTCCGTACCATCAACGAGATGGTCGGCCATGTGGAAGTCCTCAAACTTCGGGAGGACTTGAAGACGAAGAAGACGGCGAACATTGACCTGTCCCTCATCCTCACGCCGGCACACAAGCTTCGGCCGGGCGTCGCAACCTTCAATGTTCGCAAGCAAGATCACCGGCTCTACGTCCGGCTCGACAATAAGCTCATATCCGAGGCGGAATTGACGCTGGATAAGGGCCTGCCGTCCCGCATTGAATGCGATGTTGTCAACACCGATCGTGCCATGGGAACGTCCCTGTCCTATCAGATCTCCAAGCGGTATGGCGAGGCGGGGCTGCCTATGGACACGGTTCATGTCAACATCAAAGGGTCGGCCGGCCAGTCCTTCGGTGCCTTCCTCGCTCCTGGTGTGACTCTAGAATTGGAGGGTGATTCCAACGATTATGTCGGCAAGGGCTTGTCTGGCGGACGTCTGATCATCTACCCACCTCGGTCCGCTGTGTTCCAGGCTGAGGAGAACATCCTCGTCGGAAACGTATGCCTGTACGGTGCCACATCTGGCACCTGCTTCTTCCGAGGCGTCGCTGCGGAGCGATTTGCCGTTCGCAATTCCGGTGCCACCGCTGTCGTTGAGGGTGTCGGCGACCACGGCTGCGAGTATATGACGGGCGGTCGCATTGTTATCCTCGGCAGCACTGGCCGGAATTTCGCCGCCGGCATGTCGGGCGGCATTGCCTACGTCCTCGACATCCACCAGGACTTCATGTCCAAGTTGAACACGGAGATGGTGGAGGCCTCCGGTCTCGAGGATCCTGAGGAGGTCGCCTTTGTTCGCAGCCTCATCGAGGACCATCATCACTACACCGGCTCCGAGCTTGCTGCGCGCATCTTGGTCGACTTCAACCGGGCCCTACCGCGCTTCATCAAGGTCCTCCCCGTCGACTACAAACGCGTCCTTGAAGAGGAGGCCGCCAAGGCCGCCGAGGCCAGGCGCGTGGAGCACGCGCTGCCCATCTTGTCGGGCGGCAGGGTCAGAAAGGATATGGAGGACAAGGCAGCCAAACTCCAGGACATCGAGGAGACGGTAGGGGACAACGCGGCAGACAAGAAGAAGGCTCTAGTCCTGGACAAGACCAAAGGCTTCATGAAGTACCAACGCCGATCCGAGAAATACCGCAAGGCCAAGACTCGGACAAAAGACTGGGCCGAGCTGAGTCAGAGGCTGGATGAGGATGAACTCAAGTACCAGTCGGCCCGGTGCATGGACTGCGGCGTGCCTTTCTGCCAGTCGGACAGCGGATGTCCCATCTCCAACATCATCCCCAAGTGGAACGAGCTCGTCTTCCAGAACCAATGGCGTGATGCTCTGAACCGTCTGCTCATGACCAACAACTTCCCCGAGTTCACTGGCCGCGTGTGCCCCGCCCCCTGTGAGGGCGCCTGCGTGCTGGGTATCAACGAAGATCCCGTTGGTATCAAGTCGATTGAGTGCGCCATCATCGACCGCGGGTTTGAGATGGGATGGATGGTGCCTCAGCCTCCCAAGGTCCGCACTGGCAAGAAAATCGCCATCATTGGTTCCGGCCCAGCGGGCCTTGCCTGCGCCGACCAGCTCAACCGTGCCGGCCATTCCGTCACCGTCTACGAGCGCGCCGACCGGCCTGGCGGCCTGCTGATGTACGGCATTCCCAACATGAAGTTGGACAAGCGCATCGTCAAGCGACGCACCGACTTCATGGCTGCCGAGGGGATCAAATTCAAGACGGGAGTTGCTGTGGGTGAGGACGTGCAGCTCGTGGATCTCAAGGCCCAGAACGACGCCGTCGTCATCTGTACCGGTGCCACCGTTGCTCGTGACTTGCCAATCAAGGGCCGCGACCTCGACGGTATCCACTTCGCCATGGAGTTCCTGCACAAGAACACGAAGTCGCTCCTGGACTCGGAGCTTGCTAACAACGCCTACATCTCCGCCAAGGATAAGCATGTCGTGGTGATTGGCGGCGGTGATACTGGCAATGACTGCATCGGCACGTCGGTCCGACATGGCGCCAAGTCGGTCGTCAACTTCGAGCTCCTCCCCCAGCCTCCGCCAGAGCGCGCCCGCGACAACCCATGGCCGCAGTGGCCACGTATCTATCGTGTGGACTACGGCCACACCGAAGTGCAACAGCACATGGGCAAGGATCCCCGCGAGTTCTGCATCATGTCGGAGGAGTTCGTCGATGACGGCACCGGCAAGGTCAAGGGCATCAGCACCGTCCGCGTGGAATGGGCCAAGTCCCCGACAGGTGGTTGGGATATGAAGAAGGTCGAGGACTCGCAGCAGTTCTTCCCCGCCGACCTGGTCCTCCTGTCCATGGGCTTCCTCGGCCCCGAGGCGCGTATCCTGGGCGACGAGATTGAGAAGGACGCGCGGAAGAACGTCAAGACTCCTCCCGGGAAGTACAGCACCAACATCGAGGGTATCTTCGCTGCGGGAGACTGCCGCCGGGGGCAGTCCCTTATTGTCTGGTACGTGCCTGATCTATGGCTTCAACCTCCGAACCCCCACCCCTGGGGTTTAAATGACAACTTCGAGTGAATATTGTACGCTGACTCTCTCTGATTAGGGGTATTAATGAGGGCCGCCAAGCAGCTCGCGAGGTCGATCTTTTCCTTGAGCACTACACAAGCTTGCCCGTGAGTGGTGGTATTGTCAATTACGCGGCGCAGGAAATCTTCGCTGTAGCTTGATTAGGTCTGCGATGCGGCTGGGGCATGTATGGATGGGCTTGTACACCTTTGTCATGGGAGCAAAATCGTCGTCGTCGTCGTCGTCGTCGTCGTCGTCGTTAGATTAAGCATAGTAGCGCAGGTCGGCTGAAGTGTGGGTTGGACAGTCCATTTTCCCCATTTTCCCTCCGTTTTATGGATTGATACCAGGAGCAGGAAGCATGGCCTCGGGAAATTTTCAATTGACGAAAGCACGATGAAAATGCACGGTTTGTTGGTTTGGCATGTTCTCTTGGTTTTCTTTTGGTGGTCGTTCTCCTTTGTTCAGCAGTTCATGCTGAATGCATGTTTGTCTGCCACCTATATTACTAGTTGTGTATACAGCCTGCTACAAGTAGAAAACACCGGTAAAATTGATATCAGCTTGTCTTAGTGATCCTCTGTTTACCAGGCCTTTCCACAATTCTGGAGAGAGAGAATCTCATCACAGTGTATATATATATTGTAGACACAGTCCAGACACAGTATGGGCAAGACTTGTCCGGTCCAGCTCCGATCCTTCGGTCCACCTAGGTGAGCCAGCAATGGTGCAGAAACAAATGCGGGTCGGCGCCGTCATTTATTTTTGGGCAACCCTACGCATTTGTCAACAGCATCTGCAACGGCACGAGGCTCTTTGGGGGGTCAAGCACCAAATACCGAGGGTTTAAAGAGGCCGTTGCTGGAATACATGAGTATCTTGCCATTTCGACAGCTTGAGACTGATATCGCGTAGTGACACCACCTGCCGCGCACCTCATTGCCCCAAGTAGCACCAAGCAGCACCAATCGCCTCCTACACTGACCTGCTTCTATTCGACTCCCAGACTCGCACTCCCAGCTCCCTGGCGACACCCTTTCCCGTTTCTCCCCCGAGGCAGCAATGTCGCTCCCCCAAAGCACCGCCATCTTTGCGCAAATCAGAAATGCAAGAAGCCACTCGGAGCAGGCCGCCGCCCTGCGGTCACTCAAGAACGACATCACGGGCCACCTGCAGCGGAAGGAGAAATGGGTGGAATCCGGCGTCCTCGAGCCCATAGTCAAGATCCTGCAGACCTCGAGGGCCCCCGCAAGCCAGAACGGGAGGGACTTCCGCGGGGCCGTCGCACATGCGAGGAAGCTGTCGGACGAGGAGCAGGTTCGATTGCAGGCTCTCCAGCTGTTTGCCATCTTCGCCAACGGTAAGAGCCGGCCGGGCATATGGCTCCTTATCCCATCTTCTCCACCACCTTTTCCCCCAGGCATCTCGCTGATGGGCTCGCACAGGCGGACCCTCGTTTCTATACCCGATCCAAGCGGCCGATGCGATACCTGCCATTCTGTCCAACATATCCCCCTTGGACAACCCTCCACAGATCGTCGTTACCGCACTACGAGCCTTGAGCAATATCACCGAGGCGGTCGGCCTGGCCGCGCCATCCTCGCTCGACACCACATCCTTGGCAGAATTGGTCTTCAATCCTCTTGCCCTCGACGCATTCCATTCAATACTAGGGTCAGAGTCTGTGACGACAGTAGGGCAAGAGCAGAAACGGCTGGTTGCAGGTCTGATCGGATGGTTGTGCCGGGCGGATAAGCACCAGAATGCATTGGCCAACTACGGCATCCTAGATGCTCTGGCCACCATGCTGGCGAGCTTTGTCGTCGCGCGTGGCGAGGTCGTTCCTGGGGCCGAGCAGTTGGGTCGCAGCGACGGCATGACCGAGATGATACCGGATCCTGCCCCGCCAGGCTCAAACCTCGCCGCCGTCCTGGAGGCCATCTCCGCCATCATCTCCGAGTCGCGATTCCGAACCTGCATGCTAATCTACTCTCCCGCCATCATGGCCGTCCTTCCCAATGCCATGTTCTCCCCCGTCAGGGGGTCGCGGACGGTCTGGCACGTTATGGACATGGCCGGGCTCACCAGCCTGCGAAAGAAGATGCCGGAGGCGATCGACTATCTCCTCCCCGTCGTGCCCATCTACCAAATAAGGAGCGCGCCGTCCCAGATGGCACAATTTCCCCCGTTGGGCTTTTCCGCATCCTCGGAGAACCTAGCTTCGAACGGGCGAGCCAGCGCGAAGGGGCTTTCGGGGTGGGATGCCGCCCGCTTCGGCGCCTCCGGCGCCCCTGCCTCCAACGGAGACGCGGACCTAGACGAGGCAGAGAGCCCGCTCATCCCGTGGCTAATCCACCTGGTCAGGTCAACGGGCGGTCTTGAGCGAGTCATGGCCGCGTCGGTTCTGGCGTCTTTATTCAAGGCCGGATTTGCGAGCCCGGACAGAGAGGCTGCCATTGGGAACCTGGTTGTCCCTGTCCTCTGCCGGCTCATCAAGGAGACCATGGCTACGTCGACATCTGACGACGCCTGCCTCGTCGACTCGCGTGACACCCTCAGCTGGGCCATACTAGAGCGCACGCCAACCGTTCTAGCCCGCCTGATTGCGGGAAGCGAGCTTCTCCAGGTTTGCGCCTACGATTGCGGGGCCGTCAAGACCGTCTGCAAACTACTTGTCGAGTCGTACGAGCCCATGCCAGAGCAATCACCGCCGAGACCGTGGTCTCCAGATGCAGACGTGTCTGAAGGCGCAGGGAGGGGCGCGGCCTTCTCGGCATCCCGCATGGGCAAGCAGGGACATGTGCCCCTTTACTCTCACCGCGTCAACACGCGGGAGGCTGCCCTAAAGCTCATAGCCGCCATGATCCCCTTCAAGGAGGAGATCCGCATGAGCTTTGTCGAGCAGGACGTCATGCCCTATGTCGCCGAGTCTCTGTCACCGTCCCCGGCGAAGCCCAGGCATAGCAAGGAGCGGGCGAAGCCAGAAAGGGGAGCCGGAGGCGGCGGAAGTCCCGCTGAGACTTCGCCCTGCGGCCTCAATCCCAACTCGGTTATCATCGCGGCATGTCATGTTATCAGACTACTAAGCCGGTCGATTTCCATACTACGCACTTCTCTAGAGGATCACGGAGTGGTCATGCCAATTTTCAAGCTTCTGCGGCACTCGGACAAGGATGTACAGGTGGCTGCCTGCGCAGTATCGTGCAACCTGGTCCTGGAGATGAGTCCCATGAGACAGGTAGGCCGCAGGCCGTGCATTCCATTCCCCGACCCGGATGTCAAGCTAACATCTTCAAGCCGCTCATTGAGCTAGGAATTGTCAAGATCCTTTGCGAGCACGCTCACTCACTAGATGCCGAGCTGCGACACAACGCGATGTGGGCACTGAAGCATCTGGTTCTGGAGGTCGACAACGATCTGAAAAAGCAATGCTTGGATGAGCTCGAGTCGGGGTGGCTCGTACAGCTGATATGCGACGACACGGAAGACGAGGCATTATTCGCACGACTCAGGCGCGAGCGACAGATCCGGGAAGAGGATGAGGATGACGACAACGATGACGACGAGGATGAGGACATGGACTTGGAAGGCTTGGAGGAGGAGAGCAGGCCGTGGCTCTGGCCCGCTCTCTACAGGACAAAGTCGACACGGTCGACGTCACAGAGGAGCCATTCGGCGCGGGTGCAGAGGGCGGAAAGAAAACTTACAGCGCTTCGCGAGGCGGAGCTGAACCCGGTTAGGAAGGCCCGTAACGACGATCTCGCGATCCAGGAACAGGGATTGAACTTCATCAGGAACCTGATCGGACCGCCGGCGTCTTCGGGGGCCGCGTTGGAGACGCTCCGCGAACTTGCCGAGATGGTCGACTACGTCTTCAACGAGCTCGGGCAGGACCGGCTCTTCGAGATTCTAGCGTCCAAACTCCGGGTCAAGGTGCTGCACGCGTTCGACAGGCGGCACGGGCGGGGCCGGGAGACCAGGGTGCTGTACCCGCAGCCCCGCGTTATCGAGGCAGTGGTGTGCATCCTGTCGCACATGGCGGCGAGCATCCCGCGGCACCGGCAGCTGGTGACGGCGCAGACGGAGCTGCTGAAGCTCCTGGGCGGATACTTTGGCAGCAAGGACATCAGCGTGCGGCGGGCGCTGTGCCACCTCCTGACCAACCTCGTGTGCAAGGACGACCCGGACGACGCGCAGGCGTGCGCGCAGCGGGCGCTGGAGCTCAAGAAGCTGGGGTTCCTGTCTAAGCTGGAGGTGCTGGAGCACGACGACGGGGAGCTCGACGTCCGTGAGAGGGCCAGATCTGCGGCGTGGTCGATGAAGCAGATGCACCAATAGGGGTCGAATGACACCCCCCCTTTCTCTCCCTTTCTTGGCCCACCGCGGAGATGGGGTGGTCTCCGGGCACCGGTTTGGCAGGCAGTACATAGATAGTACATAGTACGATAAGTGTGTGGTGGCGGTTTTAGTTGGACATGGCGCACTTTGGTGTGGATCACGAGGACGATCTGCCCTCGGCGCCAGCAGGGATAGGGACTCGGAGAAGAGGCGGGGGCGGAGAAGGGAATGACTAATTGATTGTTTAGTGTACCGTACTTTAAGCCGCATTAGCATTAGTAAAGAGAACAGACTTTGTAGATGAGGCTCCCGCAGACCAGCTGAATCCACAATGGAGAGAGTCGTGATTTCATTGCGAGGTCCAAAGCTATCAAAACAAATTGACTGGTGGGGCGCGGTTGGGGAATAATAATGACGTCTTGACCATCCCGCCGGGAAAGGGTGCGCAACCCCGTATGAGATGGAAGTCTACTACCTACCTAATGGCGGCTTAGAAATCGATGTACGCGGTATGTATGTATATACGTACTCTGGCCCTGCATCTGTATCTGCTCATCGAAATTGCTAGAAAAGCCCCTTTTGAGGCCGCATGCAGATAGGTAGATACTATCCATATCTGCAACAGCCATGTGGTTTTTGGCACTAGTGCGCCTCATGAGCTCTTCATTGCTTTCCCGAGGGAGAGCACGGACAGCGAAACAAGGCTAACTCCGCGGCGTAGGCGTCATGAGAGCGACAATCTCGCGCCCGCTCGGATGCTGCGGAGCAAACAATCAACCCATAGGATACGGTAGCAGTGTTGTGTGTTGATGAGGTCTTCGCCGAGTGGCGTGACACAAGCGCTGCCAACATCCCGAATACCGGCATCCAAAGAACGAACCGGAAATGCCCTTTCAGCTGCTCTGACTACCAACCAAGTCATCTCATGCCATTTTGATAATCCAATCAACCCATCTACACTACTGCGGTGCAGAATAGGGCGAGTTATGATCTCCATTCGCCGGTCCTTGCCGTCCAGATCCACCGCAACCCCCCCAAGACTCGGAAGCTTTTGGCCGGTCCATGGCGATCCTGTTCCCATAGTCGGTAGGTACCCTGGCGTTCGTACGGGCGCTCTGTTTTTATAGAATTGCTGCTCTCGTATGTTCGCATGTCTATTCCTCTGACTCTTACTCCAATAGCAGTGCCATTGAACCGCCATTGCGGCATTGACGATGATTTGAAGACGCAACGGCATCGTCGGCTGTGGAGGTGAGTCACCTGCTCGGCACTCCAGTCCGTGCAGGCATCTGCCGGCACTTTCCGTACTCCACCAGGAGTGCAGGGGGGTGTGGCAACCTTAATGTTCACGAGCGGCCCCACGAAGATCTGTTAGCGAGTTACAAGGACAGGGAAGGCACCTTGTGGGCAAAGTGGGCCGCACCACTCATCGATCTCAAAGTTTCGCACTACCAGTCTGGCATCGCACCTCGACTATGGACCGGGGTATACGTAGCGGTGATGTCTCGTCGATATCACCTCATCCGATGAGGCCGGCGATGGGCCAAGAGCCAGACCATTGGCATTGGCAGGGATTTTTTACCACTCGTCATGCCGATTGCTTGGACGTGGGTCGCCTAGACACGTATGGTTTGTTGTTGTAAGTATCTGCCTCTCATGGTATCATTCCTGAGGGAGAGGCGGTGCTGCTTTGCTGATAAAGTCAACTGAAGATTTTAGACCCCGGGAAGCTTTGCGTGGCCATATGAGTGTAGTAGAACTTGACCTGCCCCTGCAGAGACGAAGATACCTCGATTTGCGACTGGGGAGTGCCTTGTCTCCAGGTGTCTAGGCCGTGTCTCCCATTGCTGTGCTTTGACCGCTGGTGGGGTGTAATTGGGGGGTGTAATGGAGTTGTGACATCTCTGTTGTTGATCTCGTAGCTCGCCCGTCCCGATATTTCTTGGCGCCAAACAAAGGATGGGTCATCTCAGCGGGCCTTATGTCACAAGCACATCGATGAGCGGATGGATGGTCGATCTCTTAGTGGCTCACCAAATTCCCCCAGGAGTTCCCTGATCGCTTCGGTAGGCTCGGCTTTCGAGTAGCTTCCCGTACGTGATCATGACTACTCGGCCAAGCTTGCCCGGGCATTTGCTCGCGCGCCTATAAGAGGTCAAGCCCTCCCAGAACGCCCTTGGAGCGGACCTTAAATCCATCATCCGCTCAGCGAATTTCCCAGAGCTAACTCAGTACTCGCCTGCTTCCCCATACTTGAACACATTACCGAGCCTTGACCTTCTTTATCGGTGTTGGCCGAGATCACGGGACATAATGGCTGTCTTATTGTTTGAACGGAGTAACCATGCTCTCGACGTCAACCCGCCAGCAGGGCACCAGCACTTGTCGGTACACGGCTCTGACTGGCTTTGGGCTGTGACGGCCGTCTTCTTGTTGGCTACTGTAAGATGCCTGCCTGTGCAAGGAATATATACATATATATGTATATGTATATAAATCTACATGATATGCTGACTCGATCGACTAGCTGGTCTACTTTGCACTGAGCTTCTTTGCCCGCTCCGGCGAGAGGATCTTCCACTATCTCTTCACCATTGGCCTCCTCGTCGGCACCATCGCCTACTATGCTATGGCTGCCGACCTCGCCTTCAGAGTAATCAGTCAGTCCAACCAGACCCATAAGGGAGACCGCCAGATCTTCTGGCCCAAGTATGTCTACTGGGTCGTCTCCTTCCCCGTGCTCATCCTCGCCCTCGGCCTCCCCAGCGGCATCTCGTGGACGACCATCTTCTACCAGATCACCCTCTCCTGGGTCTGGGTCATCAGCTACCTCGTCGCGGCCTTCACGCGCACCAACTACAAGTGGGGCTTCTTCGCCTTCGGCACCTTCGCCTGGATCCTCCTCGCCCTCAGCACCCTCCGCGACGGCTTCTCGGGCGCCCGGCGCGTCGGCATCGGCCGCGACATCAGCCTTCTGTCGGGCTGGGTCAACTTTCTCTGGCTGCTGTACCCGATCGCCTGGGGCGTGAGCGACGGCGGCAACCGCATCGGCGTCACGAGGAGCTTCATCTTCTTCGGCATCCTCGACATCCTGCTCCTGCCCGTCATCGCCTTCGCCGTCCTCCCAATGTCCCGTCGCTGGGACTACGGCCGCCTTAACCTCGCCTTCACCCAGTACGGCCGCGTCAACGCCCCGCAGGGCACCTTCCCCGAGAAGAGCCACCCCACCTCGTCCGCTGCGGGCGCGGGCACGGGCGTGGGCACGGGCGCGGGCATGGGTGCGGGCGCGCCTGGTACGGGCGTCACCACCGCGGCTCCCGCTACCACTACCGGCGGTGTCGCCGGTGAGCCTGTCCCTTAAAAGGGGCTCGGGGTTGATGTGCGACAGACTCGGCGCTTTGGTGCCAAGGATGCCACGAAACAGAGGGGTCTTGAAGAAAGATCTTCCAAGCTTTGGGGACGAGTTCGAACGAGCCGGTGCGACAGAAACATAATGCGCATGGCAGCTTTATTAAAAAAATTCGAAAAAATTCGAAAAAAGGGGGTGGGGCCGACATAATAGGGGAAGCTGATGATGATAGCTCACGAAACTGTGCTTTTTTTCCTCCCTCGCGCTCCTTACAGGTCTCAGTTGTGCGGGATGTCATGAGTTTGGTCGGAAAGTCTGGAAATACCCTCTTTCTCATCTCAGAAGTTGGATATATACCCATTGGTTTCATATCAGGGTTGTGGATGTTGTCTTTCTCTCCAGCTTAATGTCTAATACAGTCTCTGGCTCTATTATATGATGATATGGTAGTTTGCAAGCTATACACATAAAGACGGTGTCAAGTTATCGGTTTCTTCTGGGTGGTGGGAATAATATGAGAACATAACATGACAGCAATGACGATAATTATGGTGAAGAATCTCGCCGGTATCTTGCGGGAGTCGCTCAGGTAACAGGTTCCACCTCCTATCCAGACCCCCTCACATCTCATGATATTGCCTCGAGGTTGATTTCTCTACATAGTAGTTACCTCATCGCCACCGTAGCGCAAGGCCCACACCCCATGACGCTAACAGACAGCTCAACATGGCAGGGATCTCCAGACCTCACATAGACGCTTCGCAAACTTAGCCCTGTCGATCGCTTGGGTGGGCTTGCTTATTCTGTGCTACATCGCCTTGCCACACACGGTGGGAGGCCGCAGAATCGCTCAGGAGCTCGTCCTAGAGAGGGTCCTTGGGTGGGCGTCTGGAAGGCCTTGCACTGATTTCCCAGGCGATAGGCTCGTTTTAAAGTCTTGGCTGGTCGCTCCATCTCCAGACCGACTAGTGCCCCCTGTCGTTAACCGCAGCCAATTACACAGTCGTGTGCCTGGTCAGAGTACCGGCATCAAGAGATGAGTTCCATACTGAAGGATATCTCTGGGTTGAAACGGGGGGGAAGGGGGGTCAATGGAATGGGAAACCGGGCATGCGCGTCGGCGAGAGGGTGGGAAAACAGCATGGGAGGAAACACGAACAGATAAAAATAAGGTGTGGCGCATTGCCGTGACTCCACGGGTAGCAGCACGGAGGGGAGAGGAAAAGTCGGGATGGCCGTGGCTTGCTTCGCGTCCTCTTGCCATGGGGGCCGACGCAATGTCGGTTGCCGTCGACGCCGAGACGAAGCATGGCAGGGCAGGGGCAGGCCTCTTGCAGGAGGCGGCTAGCTACCGGGAGCAAGAAGCGACCTCACCAAGCAAAAACCGGCCCTCGTGGTCGTCCTCTGGTGGGTTTCAGGAGATATTGAATGGCCTTCAGAGTCGGCAACTCGAGTCTCATGGGTCCCCTGACTGTCCTGCCCTCTCACAAAACGTGCGGCACGAGCATTCACCGTCCGGGTAACACGATGCTCTACCGGAGAAGACTTGATCGTGCTGGGGCGGCTGACGGCATCGACCCCCTGACGGTCCTGCCGCGATCAGAGCCAAGCTTCCACGTGGCGAGAGCCGATCCCCGGGAAGTAGCAAACGGGTCGACGCAGGATTCATGTTGGTTGGCGCCTGACGTGAAACTGCATGCTCGAGGAAGTCAGCGTGTAAATATTGAGTACTACTTATACGCAAGAGGAGGGCTTAGAGGACATTGTTGACTTAGATTGGGCCGGTTTAGTCTGCTGTCCGGAGCTTTCTGGCAGCGGCAACTGGCGAAAGACGACGGATTTATTCGACAACCTCATTGATACTTACCTGGGCATCTCATTGTCAAACTTCTGTTTCCCTCCGGATTGCAAATTTATGGGTTATGTTCGCGTACGCCAACATGATCAGGCGGTGGCAGCATATAACGAACCATATCAACTCTACCTTGCAAAGGACAGGACAAGCCACCCAGTCACTGCATAGATTCAAGAGAGAAGCGTTCCTCAACATGTCACCCTGTGCCCGGGATACCGGGCTCACGCCTAGGGCCCCTCGTCACACGTTACACACACCCACGTGCGTCCAGTCGGTTACCCTCATCGGCACCGGCCTCGTACGGGTCCAGTGCTCAAGCCTGCTTTTGCTCTCTGCTCAAGCCTTCCTGGCTCTCGCGACGACCGTTTTGCGTTTCACGCTCCGCCCTCTGGATCGCGTCACAGCTTCGTGTCTACAGACCCACCATGTCTCGTAACGTCGGGATCCCGGCGACATGGGAAACCTAGTCCGATGTTCGAGATCGGAAAGTCCCACGCATTCTAGTGGATCATCTCGACGTAAAGTTGCCCGATACAGGGGGTCTAGACGATACGGGATACCGCTTAAGTTGAGTTTCGGTCCCGGACGCTCGGAACAAAGTGACCTGCCTGTTTAATAGGCTCTCATAGGCAGCTGGTGGACGAGCTCGCTTGTCTCTTGGGCTCATCATTACATTTCCCGGTGGGCAACTGGCATGCAGGAACGCGAGGTACTGTATCCGTCTCTCCCATGAGCCATCACTGCTTCGCAAGGCAGGAAGCAGCTGCGCCCCTGATATGAATTCTGGTACGAATTATCAGACAATACCAGAAGAGTCGAGACACGCAACTTGGTCAGTTCCTACTTAGTTTCAAGTCTGCATGGCATTTTCTTGTTATAGAGACGTGGAGTTTTAAAGCGGCCCAGCTCTCGAGCCTGACCTTAAGAGGCTGGTTAATGAACAATATGTGCCTGCCTCGGTTTATTTGGGGACACATTGGACAGGTCCGTGACTTGACCAAGTCCAGACACCGACGTCTTATTGAGGCACTCGGAGCAGCATTGCTTGGGACCCGCGCGGGGGCCACTCGTACCGTGACATAGGCCCGATAATCAAAGCAGATTGATGCGGCAGTCGCCCATGCCGCGAACCTGGGTTTTGTGTTTCCAAGGGACGGGTGAGAGCCGGAAGATAAAACCAACAGATTCTTGGGATCTCGGCAGTTTGTTCACTGATTGACAGCAGTCCTGGTACTGCTCGGTCCCGAGGGGTGAGTCGACGATCCGCAGCATTTCAGCCTGAAAGGGGAAGTCGTCTGGTGTGGCGGAGACGGACACGGGGACAGGGGGAGATACCAGCAGATCCACCAGAGGGCAGATGATTTGCTCGGGCCCCCATTCCGCAGCGGGATGTCGTGCTGGAATTCTGAAGGGGGGCGCGACGCAGCTGGATACCTACGTTAATGCATGAACTTTGAGCGCCGCCACTGTGGCGGCCATGCCAGTGAGGCCCCAATGGCATTGTTTCGAGTCATTCTGCGCCGCGCTGCCGTGGATCGTTGGGGGTCTGGGGCCGGAGTGTCGGTGATCATGCTTGATGTCTCAAAATGCCAGCGAAACTGGACTGGTAGATCTGTTTTATGGCTGCCGCCGGGACCGAACCACATTGTCGGACTCCTCCTCCCTCACTCCATGACTGCGCCGTGCCAGCGGGTCGCCTCGCCGCCAACAGTCCAAACCATCGGTTCTGATGAATTGCGGGTGCCAAACTGGCAACCTTGTTGGCTTGAGTCAGCTTGGGCTGCTGCTACGTAGCAGACGTACTGCGCAGTATGTAACAACAATTAATTATCTCACTGTGTACAAATTAAGGAGACGGAACAAAAGACGTGCAGCCAGCGCGGAGGCTTCCATGACCACTCGGCGCTTATTTACCACTAATACTAGTGTATGGATACGCACCAAGGTAACGAGTCCTACATTCTACGCATGCTTCCATCATATATTAACCTGCATGTCTTGATGTACAGTACATTACAGGGCAGGGGAGGTGTGATCGAGACCTGGGACAACTTTGAGTGGCTTGCAGATCGGCCTCTTTTCGGGGTCTCCGCAATTTGCTCTGTAGGTACATATGCGGACGTATTATAACCAACATTGGGAGCTGAGCACATGGGAAGCAGCAGGCCCAACATCCAATTTGCTGCGCTCCAGGCCCAAAAACTTGGAGCTGGAACCCGCCACGCCGTGATGTTGGCGCACATATATCTTTAGGGGTATGACCTTTTTCACCTCTAGTTGCCTGGATGGATTGCCTGATTGAGGATCAGATAAGGTATATCGGGCTGGGGCCACGGATACTGATGGATGGTGCCTAGGTAGGTAGGTCTCAAGGTTCGCGTAAACGTCGTAACCGGGCACTGTAATCTGTACTTCCTAAACTGTCAGTCTCTGCCATCGCCGGCCACTCAGAAGTCGAGGTTGAGAGGCTGGGACTATTGACTGGCGTACACATATACACCACTTTTACGTACGGGAGCAAACTGGAAAACAATGTGGGCAAAATGAGAGAGAAGCAGGGATGCGGCAGAACCCTTCCACTGGAAAACAGTGCTGGACACGGTCGGACTCCTTGGCTAGCAACCAACATGGCACGGCGTCTCGAACCCCAGCTGGAGAAACGGGCCAGATTCCAAGGCTAAGCCCAGAGGGGCAAGTGCGTCCCACCAGCCCAATGTTCTGCCCTATCAGAAGACCGGCCTACCCTCCATCTGCGAGAAGCAAACGCGGGTTAAATGACCAGCACCCAGGAAGATGGCGTTCGCCCACCATTCTTAGCACAGACTTGCTGTCACATTGGTTCATTTCCACCCCCTGCCCCGGTGCTGGGGTCCCAAGCCCTCCTCTTTTCCCTCCTGAAGCCGTCCTTTTCCCTTTTCTCTTCCTTCCCCCCACCCCCAAACTTCCACGCATTCTGTTATCCACGACTCCACGAACTCTCGCCCTCGACGACAACTCGCGATTCCAAGAACCCGCGTGCTGGCGTTGCGAGAGCGCCGACCACGACACCGAGAGTCTGGCTTGAGTCAGTTTCCACCAACCGAGCTTGATTTTGACGCTAGAGGCCCGGGGCTCGCCAATCATACCCAATCCGCCAATCCGCCCGATATTTCAGTTCCCACTTCCTCTGTCCCAGTCCGCAGGTTTGGGTCGTCCCAACCATTCGCTCTTCCTTCCTGCTGCAATCGTCGTCAACCAGAGCATAATCAATCAGTCTCTCGAATCGAAGTCTACCCCATCACATTCCCCCAACGTCGATCAACCAAAACGCGTGTCCGATTTTCGTCCTTCTTTTTAACCGCCGAGACTCGATTCACCGTTCTGCCGACATCCATCGTACCCAGCTTGTTGGTCCATCCTTTCGGTTTGGGTAAGTGGCAAAAGCCTATCCGGTTCCCATCCACTTGGCTGGGTCCTCCAACCGGGTCGGGGCCCTCAGGGCACAAGCTCGCTCTCTTGGAGGCAGTTCATCAATTGGAAATGCTCTAACGCCTTTCAACTACAGGTCATATTTAACTTGGCAGCTTATGCTCAGGCCATTTCCTATCTGAACCAGTCTCATCTCGACTCTGCCATCGCCCACGATGGGAGCTTCTGTTGCACCGTCGCCCCACGGGCTGACTCTCGACGAGTCGCAGCCTGCCGTCATAGAACGATTCACCAAAAGCGGCCGGAAACTCTACTACAAACTCACCGTCATTCAGCAACCCGAGCGGGCGAGAGCATGTGGATCTGGTCCCAAATGTAAGTCTGCAGTCTCTCCCAATAAGCAGGACCCATGCTGACGGGTTTTATTTCAGCTTCTGCTGATCGTCGCCCTGTTGACCCGCCGCCTGTTGTCGAGCTGCGCATTTTTGAGGGCCAAACTTGGCCAGAGGCGCAGCAAAAAGACATCACCTTCCTATACAATGCCAACTTCTTCCTTTACGCAACACTGGAGCATGCTCGTGTCATTGCCCATGGCCGCGTTCAGACACCCGCTGCGAACCAACCACCCGTCCTGACCGGTATGCCCGTGTCGGGCATGGCATACCTGGATCGTCCCCTCGAGGCTGGTTATTTCCTGTTCCCAGATCTTTCTGTGCGTCATGAGGGTCGCTATCGCCTGACCTTCAATCTCTACGAGGAGACCAAGGAGGACAAGGACAAGGATCCCGACACTCCGGATCCCAAGATCACCAACCCAGGGCTCTCTGTCGCCACTGGTGGTTCCTTTGACTTCCGTATGGAGGTCAAGTCATGCGACTTCGTCGTCTTCAGCGCTAAGAAGTTCCCTGGTCTGAGCGAAAGCACTCAGCTTAGCCGAGTTGTGGCGGAGCAAGGGTGCCGAGTCCGCATTCGACGCGATGTTCGCATGCGCCGCCGTGACAGGAAAGCTGGCGGTGATTATGAGAACGGTGAAGATGATTATGCGAGGAGGAGGAGGACAGAAACCCCCGAGGCACGGGATTACCGGGCTCGGTCGTTGAGCGGCAGCGTCGAAAGGACCCCTTACACCGGGGACGCTACACGTCGGCCGTCTGGTGTGGATTATGCACCACATTTCCCATCACAGTCCACGTCTTCTGGTGGGCATCTCCAGTTCCTGGGCAATCCCTCGAACCCGCAGTACCCGCCTCAGTCTCAATCGTACCCTCAGCCGCCGTCCATGCCGCCATCCCCTTCTTATCAGACCAGCCAAGGACCAGCCTACCCGCACCAGGGAAGCTATGCCCCACCGCCACAGCCGTCCTACAACCACTTGGACCAAGGCCCGCCTCAGTCGTATGCTCCGGCCAACCCGTCGCCTCAGCGTGAATCTGCTTCTTACAAGCGCCCCTCGGAGGATCTCACCAGGCATCAACCTTCCCACATGCGTCCACTCCATGCTGAATACTCGGACTTCAACCCGATAGCACCCGCTCCTCCGGGTTCCAAAGTAAAACTGCCACCGATTGACATCCCAAAGACACCGGCTCCTTCGGTGTCTGCTGGGCCAGCACCTTCCCGAATGATGCCACCCCTCATCAGCCCGACCAGTACTGTTCTCCCACAGATTCTGCCGCACGCCGGCAGCAACGGCCCTCCCGCGCTTGCTCCCTTGATGGCACCTACTGTTACGGGCTCGAAGCGTACCAGAGACGAGTCTTTCCGTTACGACAACGAAAGCCCTCGTTATCACAATGGCGCCCGTGAGAATATTCGGGAAGTTGAAAGTGACGAAGGGCCGTTGATCTATGTACGTGCCGACGGATCCAAGATCGTCAGCCATCACGTTGGTTGATTCGGAGTTTTGGCGCTCTCGAAGCGCGCGGTTTTGGGGTGTCACTAGGCTGCGTATGTTTGGTCTGAAGACCATGTACATATTGTGCTGCCTGTTCGCCAACAGGCGAGGCCTACACTCACTTACACACATTTCTTTGCAAGTTACACATCGATTCTTTCTGTATTCCTTACTAGAAGCGGATAACGCTTAGGGGGGACGTAGGGGTTTGCAAAGCATAGGTTTCCATTTGGACATCAGGCAACAAGCAGCTCCTACAATAGGGAATTGCGACCGGCATGTATTTTAGTGCAACAATCTTGTATGGCTCGGGAAGGTCTAAAGGTTCGAGTAGCAGATAGCTGCCAAATATATCGGTTTGACTCAGTATGAAACATTGCTCTTGTTGCGTGCTTTGATTCGCTGGGGAGTGCAAGACTTTGTGGTGGAATCCGGCCAAAGCCAGAGTCACGTGTCGACCTTGTGGGCTGGTTGCTGTCGCGTCAACGCGGTCCTAATCGATATGCACGGTCAACATCTCGATTTCGAATATACATCCATAAACACAACACATGGTGTCCTGGATACGGCTCTTGAAGTCGCGCTTCTACATCATCGACACTCTCTGCGTGCTCAGAACACCTGTGTTTTCAGCAGCAGAGAGTCCTTCAAGGCCTAATCTCAGGTGACCTCAGATGAAGCGAATGTAAACAATACCCTACTTTGAGAAGATCTACACGACCTCCCCCCCCCGCAACCACCGATACGCCATACAGATAACGATGGCTTCATACTCGGTCTTCCCCGAATCTGCGCCACAAGCTGGCCGAGCGTGTCAGCCAAGCTCCCAGCCAAACTCACGAGCGCAAAGCCGCTTCGTCGAGGGCTCGATGAATGACCGAACCTCAAATGCCCCTCCTGTGGCCTTCATCGGGCCCGACGATGTGGCCGCATATGAGCGCCAGTTTTACCTAAACAATGCGCCGCCTCGACCGATTAGCAGCGGTGGCCAATCAATTAAGAAGGCCCCCAACAGGTTCTTCGCTCCGTTGTGGGACGGCGTGCGCGAGAAACTGCACTTGACTAGGTCAAAATCGGCCACCAGCATAGCGAGTACCAAATCCGAAAGGCCGGTATCTCGCCAGGAGCAACAGCAAGCCAAACCAGCTGTCGCTAGCAATCCACTTGCTTATCCAACTCGCGAAGAGGTGATGGAGAGTTACAAGAGCCTCATGGACTCTGGCTTCTTCACCAACCATGCTATCCAAGGAACACGGCACCCGCTAAGGACGGCGGGCGGGCAACATGCCCCAACCGCACCAGCCCCTGCCCCCCCATCGCAGACCTTTTCGCAGCACCTAGCTCAGCACCAGCGTCCACCCCCAACCACCCAGCATCAGCCGCGATCAGTCCTCGCATTCTCGGCCATTCCCTACTCCGCCACCAGGGCCCCGTCCACCGGTGACCCGCCACTGGCACCGTATCCGCGCCCAACGGTGGCGACCCGGATGCCGTCGAGCCACGGCGGCTACAACAACAACGGCGCGCCCCTGGCCGACTCGCCCCAGCGCGGCACCAAGCGCGCCATGGCCGATATTGCAGGCGGCGTGCCAGACCGCGAGTGGCCGGAGACGGGCGCCCGCAAGCTCGCCAAGAAGCTGCGCAAATCCGCCTCGCGCATCTCGGCCGACATGTCGCTCGCGGCGGCCGCGGCGGCGGGGCACAAGTCCGCGGCGATGACGTCGTCTCGCCCGTCGATAGCCGTCCCCGGGCCGGCGAACTGGCCGTCGATGGGGAAGGAGGCGCCTCGACACTCGGTCAGCACGATGCGGAGCTTCAGTTCGAGCTGGAAACCCGGCGCCGCGGGTGGTGGTGGTGGAGGTGGGGGCGGCGGCGAGAAGAAGTCCGGCGGAGGGAACCCCAACAGGCTGACCAAGGCGAAGAAAGTCCTCGGCGGCGGCCGGCGGAGGAGGCGGAGCACGAGCAGGTCTCCCGGCCCGGTCGCGCGCCCGCAGCCGCAGCCGCAGCTCTCGCAGCCCTCACACCCCCCGATCCCCCTGCGACCGGCCCCTTCCCTCCCGGCCATGCCGGCAGAGCCGATGGCCATCGACTCGCCTACGCGGCCGTCGTTTGACGGGATTGTCAATGGGCTCAGCGTCCCGAGCTTCCACTACCCACAGCGTATGCGGTTGCGCAGCAACAGCGAGGGCAACGGCGGCGCACCCGGGCCCCTCTCCGTCGCGCCGGACGCGAACCGCGGCATCCCGTCCGTGCCCAGGATCCCGGCCCAGTTCAAGGATCACCGCCACCACGACACGAGCATCCGCGACTCGGGCGTCGGGGACGTGGAGAACTGCGGGGTTTGGTAAAAGGCTGGAGGTTTAGCCCCCCCTTCCCTCTGCTTCTCCTGTCAGACGCAGGGGCGCTGAACTCACTTGCGAGTCGGCCTTTTTTTCTCTCTCGTTTGTATGTTCCGGAACGGCCTCTGAAAAAGTATGACCGCCATGGGGACCCACGACATTGTACGGCTTATGAATCGATGGATCGAACAAGTCACGAACTCCTTTTTTGCGTTGTTGAGATTGATGGGATGAATAGATGGGGAACCCAATCAGGGGGGCGAAACGCTGAGTGCCGGCTGGTATCTCATCGCATCTCATCTGCCTGGCTTCCCTTTTTGTCCGTCTGTTCTGATTGTGCGCTTTGTGTAAATTCATGCCAAAGGAGCAAGGACCATGACGAGCCCACGAGGTTATGAAGTGACGAGGGACCATGTTATGTCTTTTAACTCTGGTTTTCTTGTTCAAAAAGGGGGAAGGAGAGGAAATGGACATCTCGTTACTCTTTTCGGTTGTGATGGCTTGGCTTCCCGGAGTTTTCTCTCCATGTGTGTCGAATTTCTCGTACTTGCACGACTCTTGACAGACTTGTGGGAGGGGTTGTTTGCAACAGACGACTTTCTTGTCTTCTGGATGTGCCATGAATAGCGTCATTGTCTAACTGGCGCCACCTTGTAATTACCTGTCACTGTTGAACTAGTCAAGATCCTGAAAGGACGCGCGAGTCCATTTTGCCTCAAATACCGACATACCGGACAGTAAGTGTCCACTCATCATGACAGCATCGCAGCTTTGCTCTATATATAAGATCAATAGGAATACCTAGGGCATATTATTCAACGTCGGTCGAGCCCAGGCGAAATCACCACTTCCACTTTTGGTGAAGACCAACCAACCAGTATTCCATCCATGCCCGCCGTCCGACGATAACCCACAAGGTCAGTACACTCGGGTTCCTCGCAAACCCTCGGATGGATGATGGCCCGGATACCTTTTCCCTGTCCCTCTCTAGAATGTACAGACGAACCAAACAGTCAAACCCGTGACTAAAACAAAAACATGGAAGAGCTCTAACGAAGGGAAGGGAAGGGAGGTCCCCTATATGGGGATGAATAGAGTTTACAGGACTTCAACAATCCTATCCTTGACAGTATCCTCGACTGATTCTGCGACTGTTTCTGCGATCGTGTCTGCCGCGGTTTCCGCGGCCACCTGCTTGCCGAACGTCGGCAAAGTGTTCCAGGCTGCCGTGAACAAGCCAGGGAACCTGCCGTACAGCATGGCGAAGAGGACAACGATGAGGAGCGGAATCTGTGCGGTAAATGTCAGCATGTGTACAGTTTCCGGAGGAGACGAGTATTGAACGTCGGCAATAAAAACAGAAACTTGGGAGAAACTCACCCATATGAAGAACAGATTCCGATCACGGCTCAGCCTCTTCAGTTTCTCGGCATGCGCGCGGCGCAGGTTTTCTTGCTGCTCCCTAGTGATGGCGTTCTTGCGACCGATTTGCAATAGAGCGGGAAGCTTCCGACGGGTCTCGGTGGATGCCATCGACGTGCTCGGCTGGTCGTAGAGGGTGGCGCACTTGTGATCGGCTTCAGCCTCGGCGGCAGCCTGAGCCGCAGAGGCCTGCTTTGTGTCCATGTCGCTCTGAGGGAAGATCTCCTCGTAGGCAGGCGGCGGAGCGGTAGCGGCGCCAGACATTAGGGACGATATATCCCACCGCCTTCCATCTAGTCCCTTGCTCGCTGGCTGCTCGCCGGCAGATCCTGGCCTAGAACCGCCGATGTTGGGAACCATGGAGGTGAGCCGTTGGAAGACTGCGGCTGAATTGAGGTAAGCCTGGTAGTCCGCCAACGGCGGCATATGCGGCATCTGTGGTAAGTACGGGAACTGAGGGAGATTCTGAATGTGCAAAGCCATTGCCTGTTGGATCTGTTGAAACTGGGCAGCGAATTGCTCCTTGAACGCCGTGACGGCTGCGGTTGGCGAGCCCATCCCACCAGGGACATCGGCTTGGGAGGGCTGTAGAAGCACAGTCGGGTTGTTGTCCGGAGATCGAGGCGCACCTGTACTTCTTCTGCGTCTCATATCCAGCCATGGGCCATCGTCGACATCCGGATCCTTTTCTGAGGCGACATCCTCAGACGAATACTCGGGGCTCTCTTCCCCGGTTTCGGATTCCTCGCTCGACGTCTGGCCTGATGCTGGCTGGGCAGCCGATGGGGGCTCCCAGAGTGATTTCAGCGACGTCATGCTGCTGGCACGGCTGTGGAGCGATCCGCGGCTGCAGGATCGAGCGTGCCTCTCAACACGCCTGATGGCTCGGATAACCTCCCGAGAGCGAGCCACATCTGCCGCCGTGAGTCCCGACAAGGTACGGATGGTAGGATCGGCACCGTAGGAGATTAGGCGCCGAACAATCTCGGGGTGATTGTTGAGAGACGCCACGTGCAAGGGTGTATAGCCTCCCTTGTCACGTAGGTCCGGGTTAGTACCGCGAGCTAGAAGGCCAGCCACAAACCGATGCAGACCCAAGGAGCAGGCAAGGTGGAGCATTGTCTGGCCCGTCGACCTCCTAAGATTCAGCCGTGGCTTGTGGGTGCTGTCGTCGAGATCAATGAGTTCGAGAACCTTCAAAAGCTTGGCCTCGAAGTTGGCGTCGAATGTGGTGAACGGCGGCCCCCCAGTCCGTTGACCAGCAGGAGCCGACGATGAAGCCCCCCATTGCGAGTTTACGTCACCGATAATCCGGCGGGCAACCTCGCTGACGTCTTCAAACGACCCGTTCATCTTGTGTCCAAGAACGGAAAGGGCAGTGCGCATAAGCTGTTGCTCGTCGTCGTCCACGTACTTGAAGATGGGCTGCTTCGTCGAGAATTGCTGCGAGGGCGGCGCATTTTGGTGCTTGAGTGTTACGAGAACGCTGCCGGAGTGAGGTGACGGCGGCAGAAGACAAACCAGCGAACTCTCGCCCCAGTACGTTGTCGTGGTCGCCCTGATCTCGCCAAACATGACCTCCAAGCCTTGGTGAAAGCCACTGCCCAAGATCGTGACCTCGATACCACCAGATTTTGGACCCTCGGCAGGGATAATCTTGTGGATAATTGAGGGCGGCCGTGGAGAACCGATCCCCATGGGGAGAGTATAGAGACTGGTCGCAAGTGCCTGGGCAAACTGCGAATTCTGCTGCTGTTGCCGTTGCTGCTGCTGCAATGCAGCGGTGTGCGCTCTCATCCCACTAGGGCTCGGCGCTCTGCTCGGGTGTGACGAGGCCGGCGCCGAGTACATCTGGGCCTGCGCCGCCGCCAGATTGTCCAAGCTGCCGGACCGGTTTCCGTCTCCGAACAGCATTTGGTCATTGCTGTTTGGTGTAGGCGGTCCTGTCGAGAAGGTAGCAAGCGGAGTCTGGCCGAACATGGGCTCCGTGGTAGATGGGAAGGAGGTCAAGCTCGGCGAGAAAGGAGACGTAGTTTTTGGTAGCAGGGCCCCTACTTGTTGGCTAGGTGACTGTGCCGCCGAAGGGTGGGAGGTTTCGAGGCGCGTCATTGCTAGACCACTCGGAACCTTCGCAGAGCCGCTTGCCTTCCTCTTTTTACAAGAGGGCCCATTGAGTCCCGTGGGCGAAGCTGGCCTCGATAGGTTTCGCGGAGTGGTTACTGCAGACGTTGCCTGAGACAGACCAGGCGTTGCAACAGAGGGCGGAAATGTCATCGAGACATTCCGCTTTAGCGTCTGAAGGTCAGAACTCGAATGTGATAAGCGGACAGAACTCCCTGGCGGGCTAAGAGCGTTCGCGTCCTGTGCCTGATTCGGGCCTGAAGGGGTGAGAGTCGCGTCACTACCGTCCGCAGAGCTTCCCGCCGCGTTAGGGGGGAGGGTGTGTGTCTTATGGTCGTCCGTGATCATAATCGAGTTTGAAAAGGCCTGGGCGATAACGTTGCGGTGGAAGTCCGTAATGGTGAAGATAACCTGGAATCCGGACTTCTCACTATGGTGGCGACAGTAACAGGCGATCCTCATCGGGGCGTCGACTTGAAACTCGGCACTTTTGGGCCCGAGTTCGTGAACATTCAACTGCTGCCACTCCTTGATCTCGTGCGTGTTGAACACGATAACCCTCCGGCTCTCGTCTTTCAACCATAGTTGCTCGTCCTCGGGTTTTTTGACCTTCTTGCGAGCCGCTCGTTTACGTTCGCGGGTCACACAACCGACGCAAATGTGTACTTCGCCGCCATTTTGAGATTTGCTTTCCTCGTCATCAGACATCTCCTCTGCCCGAGAATCGGTCCCAGGTGCCTGCGCCGCGTCTCTCGCCCGCTGACATGCCCTTTCTCTCTGTGCCGTGTTCTGCATGGCACTCGTGCAGACGAGAACGGTATGGAGCTCGAGCATGTCAGGGCTCCGTTCTGGAGGAGGTTTTGCAAGCAGCTTCGGCTTGCTGATGGTATGCCTCGGGAGATGCAGGCGTCGGATCCCTGGCGGTAGCGGGGACAGCCTCATCTTGATTGGAATCTGGGTCTCTACTCGGGATTTCAGGGGCGTGGGTTCGATTTTTAGGCTGTAGGGCGGAGGGCCGTACGCCTGCCGGTAGGGGAATTGGGCAACGGGAACTTGCATGGGCATCGGGATATGAAGCGGTGCCGGTCCTACACCGGCCTGGTGAGCCGGAGTATGGTTAAGATCGAACGCGAACAACGAATGGGCCGCCGGTCGGCCGCCTGTAGGTGCTAAGCCAGCGAAATCCAACGCTGCACTGGGAGACGGCGAGTTAAACATGACAGGTGGCGACGAGTCCTGGCTAGGGACCATGTTAGACAACGGAGACACTTCTCTAGAGCCCTGAGTTGTAAGGCGGTTCATTGTTTGGCTCAGCGAATAGTGCTGCGGCCATCGTTAGTAAACGTTGCAAGGACTCATGGCTACCAGGTTAGACTCACAGAGAGAGCTATGCTGCGACGCCGCGTCTCGTCTGGGGTAAAGGGCGACGAGATATTGCCACCGCTCCCGATGCTGACATGGTCCACCTGCGGGGACAACCCTGCCGCTGTTCCTGTGTGAAACGGACTCGGCGTGCTGGAAACGCCGGCCAGCTCGATGGATGCCGGGTTGATAGTCCCATCGCACGGCTCATCGTCTCCATTGACGAAGTCCTCAAACCTCCATTCCGCCTTTATATCACTGCCATCGCTCATCATCACGTCGCCACCGGTGAAGGTTGTTTTGGTAGAGGCCGAACTCTGCTTGGAAAATGATGAATCAGAAGATGAATCTTGGGAACCGTTGAGCGAGTGCGGGTTCGCGATGGGCTGCGGTGCTGCGAGATTCCCGCTGATGGGAAAGAGAGATTTGGGCTCGGCCGGTCGTGTGCTGTCAAAGGATTGTAGCGTGTCCGGGCCATCGAAGTCCATGTATGGCAGGGGGCTTCCTTCGTCGGATTCGAAGATATACTCGCCGTTGAAGCCCACGGCGGCAGTCATTGCCTCGTCCGCGATGATCGGGTTGCTTCTGCCGTTCCCGGTAGCCGGCATGGCCAGTGAGATGGGACCGATATCTGTCGGTGATACTTGTAGGAAGGACTTGGTCGAAAACGACGGGAGAGGCCAAATCGGGACACGGTTGAAACGGACGGTCTCGATCGAGAGGATTGTCGACTCTGCGACGATCAAGCCGGCATGTTCAACGTGACGGGCCAAGGGATGACAATAAATGACAATGGGGACGAGAGAATATACGGCCGAGCAGATGCGACAATCGGTATGAGTGGCCGTCAGTTCCCCGTCTGCCTGGTCGTTGAAGAATTGACTTTTTGAAGCTTTTGCTCTCTGCAGATATGGGGTTTAGTCATGAACGGGGGGCGGAGAATTGGGAGGCGGTAAAAAGGGCGACGGGAGTTTTGCGTCCAATTGCCAGAGGCCGTGACCGGCGTGACAGACAGGTGGCCTCGTCAGCGTTGGTCGTCGCTCTTAAAGAGTCTTGCCACAAACAATGACAATATTGGGTCACGTCTCTAAAAGCAAGGTTCGAAGTCGGGGTTCGAGGTCGGTAGAGCTAGTCAAAGTGTCTCTCGACCTGGAGAGACAGATGAGATAAGATGGATCCAGTAGAGGTGGAGGACCCGGGGCTGGTGCGCGTGGCTCCGACCGCAATGGACACCACCTATGAATTGATCCGGCTTCAGGGATTAGTTAGAGCAGACCGGGGCAAGGGTTACGTGTGAGACACTGTACCATTTACGCCCAGCCAGGATGGGTACACACAACTTCACACTGTACAGTGTAAGGCCCTCGCACAGCACGACATGGAAAGGCAGACAGGGACGGATTAAAGACAATGTCTTTTGTAACAGACTCTGTGAGCCACAACGGATGCATATCCGAGTCTGCTCCAGCCCACCTTTTCTCCAATCTTGCCAGAGGCTAAATAAAACCGGCAACCATGTCATACGTTGTTCGTACGGGATCCAGCTGAGCATATGTATGTACAGCTCGGATACCCAGAAGGAGCCTTCAAAGTTTTTGCTTTCAGTCATGGAAGCCAAAGAGCATATCGGCCAACCTCCTTCCAGCTCGAAAACGCACGAATGCATTCTCACATCAATTTCGACCATGTCATCTCGCCCTGGCACCACCCAGAGGGCCCAAAAGGGTCGGCAAAAGCAATACCTTAGCGCCACAATACCTCGCCTAAGATATCCCCAGCCCTTTGGCCAGTTCGATAAGTCTCCCTTGAGTCCTTGAGCAGCACTTCCCTATCCACGATAAGCTATCAGCGCCCAATTCCCGGCCTAGATCCCCGAGCACGTCACTTTAGCATGACCGAGGGCATGAAACAACCTTCGAGGTAGTTCCTGTCATGTAAAACAAGTAAAACAAGCCCATTCCTCGAACCGCAGTGGATAAGGATAATAGACCCACATCCCAATGACGCAGGCCTTTTGAGTTGAAAATGTGCCTAGGTAGCCAGCAGTCCTTCATGTAGCAAGCAGTTCTATCGTATGCGGCCGTCTCGAAACGGCCCATCTCGAAACTTAAAATACCTCCCAATCAAGCTCGCCCGTCTCCAAATACGAGGGCATTTATGGAGTTCCAAGTGCGTTTTTAGTAAACAGTGCCATTTCCTATGATCATCATATCCTTCGCGGGCCCCATCATCATGCGTAGACTCTCCTGGTGGAGATAGCATAGCCAACCGCGCCCCGTTCATCCTGCACCTTGGTCGGCAACCTGGGAGCCGGGCTGAGCTGCATGTTCATCCGGGAACCGTATCGTTCGTCCAGGAACACCGGAGCTTGATGATAGGTCCCGTAGCTCAATTTCTGTCTCCATGGCACTTTTCGAGGCGCCCATGCCGTCGCCGCCGCTCACTGGGTTCAAGGTCGCCATGCGGGGTGGAAGGACCGAGGTTTCCGCCCTTCTGGGGATTATCGAGCCCCCGGTTCGATATAAGGGGGCAGGCAATGCCGAGTGGCAGACTGGAGTGCTCTCATTACCGAGTCGAGAACCCGGTCTGCTAGTAATGAGATTGGTCACTCTGCCGCGCAGAGTGAATGGCGGCGTTGCCTTGTCAGTATCCGATGGGGAAGAGAGGCCTCTGGATAAGGTCCTGGGCAAGTAGTAGCCTAGCTTTCCGAGGGGTATGCTCAAGCCATGGACGATCTGTACTAGTGTATAAGCTGGGCGTCCGAGGACAAGTAGGCGGTGCAGTAATAGGACTTACAATGCTGCAAATCGCAATGAACCAGACGACGATATACACGGCCTCTGGGAGTTTCTCCACATCCTTCCGAGGCTCTCCATTGACGTGCATTGTCTCCAGAAACTCCAGGGCGATGTATAAGTAAAAGACGGCCGACACTCCGACCGGGCCAAAGAAGCCGACAAAGATTGCCTGCCTGAACTCCTCAATCTGAGGGACAAATTTGTGGATGGCAAGGACCCAGGGAAGGCGGCGGAGCAGCAAGATCAGGATCCCAAGGGGAACGAGGCGGTAGAGGGGGATCACGGAGTTGTCCAGGAAGCTGTGCCATGGGCAGACGGCGCCATACCACATGAAGATGGACACGTTCAACAACATATCTACCGTCGGCTGCAGCGAGTCGTCCAGCGTCTCCAGCCGGAACCAGTCGTCCCAGGTAAACACGTTCCCGGCGATGAAGCAGGCCAGGACATCGTCGCTCCCGATCATGCCGCACGTGCCGACGATGAAGAGGGCGAGGGAGATGGCGAAGACGAGGAAGCTCTCCCTGTCCACAAACTTGCGCTCCTCGGCCCAGTGGAGAAGCTCCTTGGCGATCCACCCCACAATGGCGCCGTACACGATGCTCAGGGCGATGGTGTAGCCCCAGGTCTCGGCGAACCAGAAGCCCATGGCCTTCGCGGCGCCTCCCGACTCGGCCACGCCGCCGTCCCCGGTGTACTTGATGAGGTACAGGGCGAAGAACAAGAACGGATAGCCCAGCCCGTCGTTGGCGCCGGATTCGGCGATGATGATCTGCTGGAGGTCCTTGGGCACGTTGTGGTCGGCAAATTTACCCTTGACGATGACGTTGGACAGGACCGGGTCGGTGGGAGTGACGCAGGACCCGATGGCGAGTGCGTGGAGGATGTTCAGGTTGGGGACGAGAGCCCAGATCAACAGGCTCGTAGCCAGCCACATCAGGGCCATTATGGGGCCGAGCAGCAGAGAGAGCGGCCTCCATTGCTTCTTCAAGTATCTACTAGGCAGCTGGACCCCTGCAAGAACCAGTTGGATGCCGAGAACGAGGCGGGAGAAGTACAGGGTCACAGTGTTGAGGTTCGCCTGGGAGCCGGCGTAGTCCAGCGGCCTTATAAGGTTGGCGGCAGGTGGGGAGAGTGCCACGCCGGCCAAGAGAGAGATCACTGTGGAGAATGTATTAGCACCGACGCCGGGGAGGGAGAGGGCCCAGACAGGTTGATCTGTAGAGCAAGGTAACGTACGGGCCTCAGATAGGTAAAAGTTCTCTTTGCAGAGGTATGACACGAGGCCAAACAGGGAAATCCATCCTCCCAGGACACTGAGGACGATGTTGAAGTTGGTAAGTGCCAAGGTCGGCATCTTGGCTGGATGGTTGGAGGTAAGGCACCAGGCACCGGGTGGCCGGGTGGCCGGGACGGGGCGAGATGTCGGCGGGGCGGATCACGTCACCCCGGAATCGTCCCTGCTTGTCCGTGCAGCAGGAAGGAAGTCGTAGGCCGGAGCGAAGGGAGCAAGTGTTATTGAATCATGGGCAAGTTGGGCCGTGGTATTGCTGAGACACATCAGCATAGACGTCAACTCCCCCAGATGAAAAAAGAACAGCGAGCACGGAGCGAGGAGCTGGGCTCGCGGAGAGACGGGCTCGCGAAGAGACAAAGTGGTTAACAACTGGGTAACACGTGCGGCAACGTCTGGCTAAGAATGACTCCAGAGAGCTTGCTAAACTCAGGTTGCCAAGATGAGGGAAAAACCAGGTGGGTAGAACAAAAGATTCCGACCAAACTGTCAATTGTGGAGCCGTTACACTTGAACCACACGGATTGGACGAAGAGTCGGAAGAGGCCGATGAAATCGGAGGCCCGCGTCTCGTCATCCGGCCTGGATGGAAATACAAGTCGGCGGTAGCCAAAAGGAAAAGCAAAATTGAATATATCTGAGAGAATGTATTCATTTTGATCTGGAACAGCCACCACCTCCCCTCAGAAAAGGGATGACAACCTGGATGTCGTTGAGAATCAGTTATATTGGAGCATCCGAAAACCTACAAGGCTGAGCGGAAAAGGGTATGTGGAATTAAGCTCAACCTCCGCTGCACAGCATTCTATCTTCTAGGGACAACGGGCCCCAGGGAAAAGAGCCCCAATACGCACAGACTTGATTCACACAGTCAGTCAGTCACTCACTCACTGACTCACTCATCCGCCTCTCGCACCCTGCACAGCCAGCTGATCAGCAGCAACATTGCCCGCGTCCGCCGCGTGGCCCTTGACCCAGGTGAAGATGGTCTGCGTCTTCTTCGCCTCTCTCTCGTTGATCCTGGCCCGGATGGCCTCCACTAGATCCCTGTTCTTGACGGGGCCTTGCTTGGTCGTCCATCCGTTCCGCTCCCAGTTCCGATACCACTCGGTGACGCACTGAATCGAGTACTTGCTGTCCGTGATGATCTGCACCCCCTGCTTGGGAGAGGTAGCCTCGAGGGCCCGTAGGATGGCCGTCAGCTCCGCCCGCTGATTCGTCTGAGGTTCGCCCTGGAGTCTCTCGGAAATGTTCCTGATCAAAGGTTTAGTAGATGACCCTTTGCGAGGTAAGATGTGAGAGAGCGTGTGAGAGGCACCAACCTTGGATCTCCCGAACCGAAGAAGACACCGACCCCCGCGGAAGCTCCATGGTATCCGTTGCCCAGGCTGCTTCCGTCCGTGTAGATATTAAGCAGCTTGCCGGTCTTGCCCGCCTGGGCAGGAATCGCAGCAGTGGCAGTGCTGGTAGTCCTGGCCTTCTTCGGAGCAGGCTGTTCTTCCTCTTCGTCGTCGTCATCGTCCTCCTCATCGTCGTCGTCGTCGTCGTCGTCGTCGTCGTCATCGCCGAGAGTCACACCCTCCATGGCCAGCACGGTGGCGGCATCCCCGTGTAGGCGCATGAACGCCTCTGCCTCGATACGCGTGCCAAACTTCTTATACTTGGGTCCCTTGGTACCTACAATGGCCTCGCTGGCCGTTCCCCAGTCTGTGTAGATGCCCGGCTTGCGCCCCTTGGCCACGGCGTAGAATTTGTCCGGCTGACCCTTCAGGGCCTCGGCCTCCGACGGCGGCGTCTTGCCAGCAACAAAGGCGGCGGCGTCTTCGCGGGTCGTGAATGACTTGACTGGTTGGTCTGGTCAGCCTGGCCCGGGGAGGGGGAGTTCCGGAGACGAGTGGAGGGTAGTGCTGTACTCACACTGGGCGCCCTTGAACCCGGCGATCTGGGCCTGGCACTCGGGCCACAGAAGGTAGATGCCGGGCTTATGCCCACTGCGGACGGCATAGAACTTCTGCAGGGCTGCGTCTGCTTTGCGCTTCTTCGACGGCTGCCCGGCGCTGGCAGGAGCTGCGGAAGCAGAGGCAGCAGAAGCCCGACGCGGGGGCTGCTTCTTGTTGGTCGAGGTCGCGGGCATGTTGGGAGCGGCTTCCAGGAAACGCTTGATGGAAAGAGGATATCTGCAGTCGAAAAGTTGCAGACGTCGTCACATATTTAGCGACGGCGAGGCCTCCTTTCAAGTTGGATGACACCACCAGGTTTCGACAGCCTGCGAGGAGAGACGAAGGGGCGTTTTGGGAGTCAAAGAAGTGGCATGGCCTGAAACCTGGCGCAACAAACCCGTGGTGTCTCGAGATTGGTCGTGGGCTCTTTGACTGCTTTTGGGATACCCCGTTGGCAATTGAAGGTAAAGAGCCAGGGACAAAGAGACGGGGGGGAGAGATGATGGTGGGGAGAATATCCACGTTAGTGGGGGGCTAACGTGGGAGCCAAAGGAGGAGCTCCAAACAATTTCACCCTCACCTCGTGATATCCAGCCGGCGGGTAGCAGGGGTAGCTCTACATACTGTACCCTACGAACAGTGCCCGGTTATCTACCTAGGTACCTACCTGCATATCCGTAGATAGACCAGCAGTGAATCGCGTCTCTTAGCGACAACGACGAACAAATTCTGGTGGGCGGCAAAGTCAGAATCAATATCAAAGCAACTGCTTTGTGTCTAACCTGCTCTTCGGAGCGAACTTGCCGAGGTTGAGGAGTGGGAGAAGGCCCAAAACTGCGTTCTCGCGTGAGCTGCGTCGGTGCTCCTTCTGAATCCAGGTGCCAAAACTGTTCCATATCAGAGTTCTCGTTAAAAAGTTGACATTTTCCGATTTCATAACTCCACCAAGTCGCAGAGCACTGCCACTCATCTTAACTATTTATGACAAACTCTCCTGACCATGTCCTGAGTTATGCCTGAGCAAAGTGGCGAGCGGTTTAGTGAGGGCAGCTCGTGCGAAATGCAACAGGGCATGCTCCCCTCCCCGTAAACGCCAATCATGAGTACATTTTCCATGCCTCCAAATGCGGTGCTAACAATGCCAACTCCAAGAGACGACCATCTAGTTCCCCGTGTTCGTCTCATTTGTGTCTTTCCTGTTCCCTTTTCCTCTTTTTCTTCTTGGCCGTTTTTCTTCTTCCATCTTGCAAGTAGGGGAGAGTGTCGTAAACTCGTAAGGCAGTCGTGAATCCTAGGCATGAACCTCATAGTCGACCAGCAGAGGCTTTAGAAAGCCTGCTGATTCCCACTCCCATCCAAGCAAGGTCCAATTCAGCTCTCTGCGCCAGAATAATCCCAAACCACGTCCAGCTTGTGGCCCAGCCGGGTGAGAATGAGCATGGCCGCGGTCCTCGGCACAGAGCCCACCCGTCAGGGGCATCCGGTGCCGGAAGACGACCCTGCCCATTCGGGAGTGGAGGATGGCCATGGAGCACATAACACAGGGCTCATGAGTAACATACAGCTCCAGGTCATGGCAGAGATAGCCATTTGGGCTGGGGTGCTCCGTGTCGAAAACCATCTTTTCGTCGGCAAGGATCGGCTCATCCTGGAATGCCTCAAACTCCAACACAGGTGGCTGGGCCCCCTGCTCTCTCTTCTCGCAGCGGACCAGCTTCTGTGCAACCATGCTGATAGCTCGGAGGACGGCATGGGCCATGGGGTTGCCCTTGTCACCTGCATTTCCTCGTCCATACTGCCAACGTGCATCGGCAGCCAGTGCGACAACCGAAGTCTTCTCCCCATCTCGGTGCACAATGCAAGCTCCAATAGCCTCTCCGTAACCAGCATCCCTGGACTGTTGAGCAACCCGGTGTGCCAAGGCCATCCAGATGGTAGCATCATTCGTGATCTCGTCGGTAGAGCGGGATACCATGGAGGGGTGGGGCCCCAGTGGGTTGTTTTTTCGGTAGACAGTGGGCCAGAACTGCTGGGTCCACATGGCTGCCTGGACCTGGGATGTAGGTGCTACCATGGGCACCGGGACACTCCGTATAAAGACATCTTCCTCCAGCCCTTCAATGGTGGACAATGCCTTGGCAATCTCGTCCCGCGAAAGGGGCTGCTCAGGGCCTATTATGACGTAGATCCAGGTCGATTTGCCAGTGTGTATCTGTCTGCTCTGCGGGTTCTCGTTCATGAACTTGGTCCTGAGGTGGACAGGCAAGTCATATGGCTTTGCGCACCGGCGTAGATGAGGAAGGCCCTTAACAATGTCCTCAGGAAGCAGGCTGCGCAGAAGGCTGGGCCAATAGTCAGCATGTGAGCATTTGTAGAGGATTAACCAGGACTGGCCAGGGAAGCAAAGCAAGAGAGCGGCAAACAAAGTGGCGGAGGGGCTTGCTATACCTGATGGCGGGGTTTGCACATTTAACTGGCATGCGCGTGATGAGGATTCGGCCACATATGTGATCGTCTCCCAGCTCGAGATTGGTTTTGAGCGGGATCAGGACGCCATGATTGACTGGGCCACGCAGGAGCTGCTGGACAACCGGGTCCTGCATAGCAAGAACTTCTTTCGCATCATCACTCGACATGGTGGAACCTGGCGAGGTCGAGACAAGAAGAGTGCACCTTAGGCAGGTCGGCTACTTGGAGGAGGTCGGCAGCCGAAGGGGCGAGGTGAGGCTGTTTTCGTAGCTGGTAAGGTTAATGGCTTGCTGGCGGGAGAAACACGGCGAGTGACAAGAACGGAAGAGAAAACTGAAAGAGATTGTGCACAAACCCTGTCGACATTGTGGTTACCTTTGTGGTGTAGTGAGAGCGTGTATTCTTCAGAGGAAAGCGCGACGACGCAGCATCCTAGCTCTGATGCCCCCGAGGAAAGAAAACACCACTGTCGTCAGAGTCTATGGCACCCTTCAACCTATCCTCAAATAATCAGCAAAATGAAATGGAGGCTAAAAAGAACCTACCGGCCTGTGGTCCCTGCATACACGGTAGGCCCTGTACCAAAGGTGCTGCGTACCTGCCTAGGTAGGTACCTCTCTACCTTCCAAGTTGGTAGCTGCGGGGCATCGAGATCTGGTTTTGTCAAGTACCCACTACTGAGGAAGTGTGCCTACCTGGGTACCTTAGGTAAGCAAGTACCTGCCTCGTCTGAGATCCATTCGCTCCTCCGTTGATATCCAATCGCTCCTTCCTTGAGATCCCTTCGCTCCTCCGTTACAACGCAGGCCGTAGAGGACCCAGGTACATACTTTACACTACAACA